TTTTTTTTTTTTTTTTTTTTTTTTTTTTTTTTTTTTTTGCGTTTTCTTTCAATTGAAATCAAAACCGAGTTCCGAGGGTCTCGTCGACAGGTACAGTGCACCTCCAGTTGCAAAGGGGTTCTTCCCTCTGTGGCAGCTATCTCTCGCCACTTCCGGTTCCCAGGCAGCCCGAACAGGCCCTGGACGGCCAATAGCTGGTCAGGTCCACCCAAAGAGAGAATACGTGGGTATTGGCAATGGGGTAGGAAACCAACGGGGGTGAGATCCGGTTACCGATCACGGAGTTGCAGCCAATAATAAGCATTCAAGGGTCGTGCGCTGATGATCTAGATAATCAGCAGAAGCCCATCGGCCGCTCGGCTCGGACTAACAGCAGATCAGGGGGGTAGCTTTCAGCCACTCCGACCGGAGTAGATGTCTTTGAAGTGAATGACAGGTTGGTATCGAGCAAACCTTGAAGTTATATCGAAATCAGCAGAGCTGGATTAGATGGGTTGATTTATAATTGCCATTACTAATTGTGGAATCCAGCAAAGATGCAGCCACGACATTTTTCTTCGAGAACCCGGGCTGAATGTCGCGCGGGTCTGGGTGAATGTCGCGGCTGGGGTCTGGGCTTACATACTATTAGTAAAAACTGGTCATCGGAGGGTATAAGAATTTGCAACTATAGAAATATATAAATTGAGTAGACTTGAGTAGAATTGAGTAGAAGAGAAAGCAGAGACAAGTAAGATAAGATGTCATTTCAAACAGCCAACTTAAAGATTGAAGAAGTTCCCCTTAACGAGATCAAGAGACCAATACCTCCAGTTCTTGATTATGAAAAAATAGATGCTATGGTATCGACTTTACAAGGAGCGCCAAAAGCATCCGCTACGTGTGGGTTAGAGGAAATCACCCTGGGAGAATTGCCACCAATAGATGTGTTCAAGATTCGAGAATCGGGACAGAATTTTTACTTTGCATTTGGAGGGTGTCATAGATTTCAAGCTTATGATAAATTAAGTGAGGATGGAAGCAAACAAATAATGGTCAAGGCCAGAATCTTACCGGCCACTAGATCTACATTGAAGTTGTATCTTGGAGCATCCGTAGATCAATTATTTAAAGAGATTGATAAGGAGAAGGCCAATTAGGTATTCAAGGGAGTCATTGAATCGATACTTTCTCTAATTAAATCTTCTTCTGGTGAAGTTAATTTAAAATTGCAATGAATTTTTTTATTGATTCTTCTTTTTTGCCATTTAATTGGGATTAATGGTAAATAACCTCTTTTGTCTTCAAATAATAATGCGTTGAAACAAATACTTATAATGACCCAATATAATAAATAACTTATAACACTACCGTATGTAGCACTATTAGTCCAACCGAAAACCGCAGTTACAATCATCCAAAATGCGCCATCTTCTTGTAGTTCTCCATTACAACAATTGACATGCCAAACACTATTGGTTATATCGTAAGATCCGGGACCATGACCAGTTTCACTAACGTCAAATCCATCACATAAATCAATAAATCTTTGCAATTCGAAATTCCAAACTCCTTTGGAAAATAACCCAGCGGCAACCAAGTAAAGAAACCCGGTGGATATTACTAAAAACCATTGCAATGATAGGTTATTTCCTGATCTATACAAGAAAACCCCAATGATTGATCCTATTATAATTGCAATCACTACCGAGTTGATAATGGCCCAGATGCTAGTATCTTCATTGATTCCAATTCCTCCAATGAAAACAATTGCTTCCATTCCTTCTCTTAAAGTAGTTACAAATGGTAAGATGAACATTGAATATTTTTCAGACCAAATCGATAACCTTTCCTTTAATGTTGCACTAGTACTGGATTTCCGGGAATTTATAGCTTTATTAATATAATTCGAATTGGTTATTATAGCAGTTAATTTCTTTTGCCATTTTTTTTGCATCTTATTGACTCTCAATATTTTAATCCCCATGATTGATATTATAATACTTGCAATGATTGAAAAAGTTCCTTCCCAATAATGTTCTGTTACCGACCATAAATCATTACCCAAAACGTAAAAAATCGTTAATATGATCGTCCCAAGTATAAGACAACAAACCAATCCTAGAAATCCACCAACCCAAATTTGAATTCGAAGATAATTATATACCGATCGAGTTTCTTGAGATATCTCATCCTTGTTATAGTCATCTTCACCTCCATTCAAAAGACCTTGGCCTTCCTGCGGCTCCTCATCCTCTTCAGCTGTCCTCTGTGCCGGTTTGGTAGTAAGGAAACTCTGATGAATAAAGGCCAATAATACCGAAACGATAATTGCCAGTTCTAATGTTTCTCGAAGTACAATCAAAAATACTTGCACCGAAAAGTAATCGTCAAACGTCTTCATTTTGCTTGAGTCCTCATTTAATCCATGAACTATCGAGAATTCAATCCTTATTTATACGTTGTAAGCTGAAGAAAAAACCAAATTTATATCCAAACACCTATTCGGAATTGCAGTCTCTCGAGTTATCGAAATGATCAGTGCATTTATTCCCGAAACGAAAAAAAAGCCGTTTTTCTCTTATAACTTTGGAAACAAAATGATCTCTTTTATTGCACGGCTTCCTTTCAACGTACCAACGATTAGCACCATGGGCAGACGGTGTAAAATTCCATTTATAGCTAACCTGATCCAGTCCAATTGTATTGCCGGTTTGTTCTGTACTCTTTGGTCGGAATACACAAAGCGTCTTCCGGGAGGATTTTTTCCTGCTTTGGACCGGATCTCGTGCGTGTGTCCAATTAAAAACTCGTAAGTGACTCCTTTTTCGGATTAGCTTTGTGGAAGAACCGTTGGTGCCCGTGAAGCAAATAGCTTAATGATTAGACTAACTTATTGGTTAGACTAGCTTATTGATTGAAGGTTATAGTTTATTGATTATAGATTATAGCTTATAGAGAAATGTTTATGAAGATACTGTAGTCTACAGATCAGCTAGTAGTCAGCTTGCGTTTTATAGCTTTAGCAAACATGATAGCTTAATGATGGCTTATAGTTACATTGTGTGGCTTATAACTTATAGATTATAGGTTGGGAAGGTAGGGAAGACTGGTGGTTATAATACAATATGAATACATTTTATCTAATATACACGTTAATAGTCTAGAGCGGAATGCTTTCTGCTTGCAGCTTCTAAATTTTTGTATTCTTTGGAATCTTTATAACGATTCCAATCGATGAAATCATTTAATTTGTTTTCACTTTCATCTTTAAAATCTTCATCGAAATCGGTCAAGTCACTGTCATTAGCATCATCGGCCAATTTTTTCCTTTTAGCCAATGGATCACTTCTTGAACTTAAAGGTCTTTTAGGCAAAGGTTTTGAAATATTTCTTGAACTATTCATGAAAATCCCACTATTTCTTGAAGCAGCCTTTAATTTTTGAGGAGATGGCGATTTGTTCGTAACTCGAGGTTTATCAGGTAACTTAACATCATTTTTTGGCTTTGGTTGTGGAATATAAGTTTCGGTCCGAGGATAATTGTTTTTTGGTCTTGGTATATAAGTTTCAGTACGGTTTGATCTATTAGGTATATAGGTATCAACTTTTGGTTGAGCTTTAGCGTTTATTGATGGTACTGGTGCAGAAGGACCACTGTTATAACCAGAAGTTTCATTATTTTGTTTTTGCTTTTTATATCTTTCCTTGTCGATTTCGTGACTTTCTTCAAATCTTGGTAATTCATGAGGTTTCAAGGGCAATGGTTCATTCTTGAAATACTCATGATTAATTGCATCTAAAGAATTCAATCTTTTAAATGGATCTAATGCTAGTAATCCTGATAATAAATTTAATCCATCTTGTTTCATAAATCTTGAAAACCTAGTTTCTAAAGTTCTTTTACATCTCAAACCAATGGTATAATCAGTTTTATTTGGTAATAAGTTGGCATTATACCAATTATCACTAGTGGGTGGTCCAATTAATTCAAAAATAATTTGTGCCTGTTGTGAATCTGACAGTCCTGCCAAAATTGGTTTATGATTGAATAATTCTCCGAAAACACATCCAACCCCCCACATATCAACACTGGTTGTATACTTTCTTTCTCCTAATAATAATTCTGGTGGCCTATACCATCTTGTAACTACTAATGCAGTATAATTTCTTTCTCCTCCTCCTGGTCCTTTGCCTAAATCGGGTTTTTTACCATGATAATGACGTGCTAACCCAAAGTCTGCAATTTTCAAAATCCCATTATAATCAATTAAAATGTTTGCTGCTTTGATATCTCGATGTAAATATCGTTGTTGATGTATATAATTAGTTCCTTCTAATAATTGTAACATTAAACATTTAATCTGTGGTATTGATAAGTGAATGTTTGGATTTTCTAATAATCCAACCAAGTCTGAACTCATATATGGTGATACTGTATAAAAACATCCTCTTGAATGGATTAAATCTTGTGGATTATCAACTTTTGGTGATTCATAGATCATATCATTAATCTTCAATACATTTTTATGATTTAATGACTTTAAAATGGTTATTTCTCTCATTGCTGTTATTGGGAATCCTTCTTTAGCTGAGTGATTTAATAGTTGTTTTAATGCTACTAAATCATTAGTCCCCCGATGTTTGGCTTTTTGAACAACCCCAAACGTACCTTGACCTAATTTTTGAATGACTTTATAATCTTTCAAAGAGTTCATATCCATGAACTTGTTTATAGATTGACGAGGAAATCTATAAGCATGTCCATCTTGTGGTTTAAGTGAATCATTACTCATTTTAGACTCATGAGTTGTTGATTCTATTCAGGTTGATATGCAAAAAAGGAGTAAAAGATAATAATAAGAAGAATATCAGTTTTGTTCAAAACTTATAAAACCCTATAGAAATTCCTAACTTAATAAGTAAAATGCCAAGTTTAGTCTGTTAGTCTTTACCTGGCTAGCCTCGCTGAACGTCTGCTCAGTCTTAATCGTTGATGTAGACTGTATTTTCCCGGTTTTTTTTTTTTTTTTTTTTCTTTGGGATTTTTTGCGTGCCACTTTCACTTTTCACTCTATGCTAATGAATTAATATGGAGTGATCTTAATACTGAATAGAGGAAACGCATTTACAACTCGTAAGTAGGTATATAGGTATATTAAATCTCTATTGGGAGAGAATAATAAATATATGCAGAGAATTAAACTGAATAAAGGGCAAAAAATGCAATAAATGACCGAAGAATTGAAAGATAAAGGTAAAAAATTTTAAGCAGATGAGTCGACAACGAATTTAGAAGTCTTCTTTCTTTCTTTAGAAAGTTTCGAAGCTGCTCTGACGTTAAAGCCGTCGGTTAAGAAAGCGGTAGTTTCTTCTAGTTCTAAACCAGCAACTTCTGGGAATAAGAAATAGATGAAAAGGAAAGAGACAAAACATAAGCCAGCGAAGAAGGAGAAAGTACCAGTAGGAGTAATTTTAATTAGCATTGATAAGAAAGTTGATGCAATGACCAAGGAACCACACCAGTTGACAGAAGTAGCGAACATGGTACCAATTGATCTAACGTTAACGTCAGAAAACAATTCGACCCCGGTCCAAGCACTATTACCGATACCAATAGCATAACAAGCAACGTAGGCAACCATACCTAGGATGACCAAGATCCCCCAGCCGGTGATACCAGTTTTTTCAACTACAGCATCAGCATGAGAAGTGAATTTAACGCCTAAGAAATGGAAAGCAATTGCACATAAAATCAATGAAACACACATACCAGGAATAGCAAATAGTAAGATTCTTCTACGACCAACTTTATCAATAATACATAAAGCCACTAGGGTGAAGACAAAATTAGTAGCGGCAATAATGATGGAAACAGCGGTTGAATTTTCAAAACCAATGGTTTCGAAGATGGTGGTACTGAAATACATTAAAGAGTTAAACCCTGTGAACTGCTGAATACCTTGTAAACCACAAGCTAAGATTAAAGCTCTGAAATTAGCAGCAGAAGTATGAATTAATTTAATTGAATTCCAAGATTGGATTAAAGAATTTCTACCCGGAACAACTGAATTAGAAGCAATCATATCTTCAACAGTTGCCTTAGCAAAACTATCTGAAGGATCATTATGAATTTTTTTAATAATTTTAATTGCAGAATCATAATCACCATTCATGACATAAAATCTTGGGGTATCAGGTAAGAAACAAAATAAAACAAATTGAATCACTGGAGGAACCATACAAAGACCAACAGAAACTCTCCAACCATGAGGAACGTTGGTTAACCCCCAGTTTATAAGATAAGCGACTAATTGACCCCCGGTAATAAACATACAATTAGTAACAATTAAACGTCCTCTATATTTAGAAGGAGCTAACTCACTCAACATTAAGGGAGCGATTAAAGAAGCAATACCCACACCTAATCCAAGAACGAATCTTCCAGCAATCATGGTCCAAACAGTTTTGGAAACCAATTGAATAATCGTACCAATGACAAAAATTAGATTAGAACCTAATAAAACTAGTTTTCTACCAAGTATATTAGCTAAAATCCCTCCTATTAATGCACCAATCAATGCCCCTAATGAGGTTGCAGAAGTAATAAACTCTTTTTCACCGGAAGTTAAAACTTTATTTGATAAATCAGTGCCAACCATAACCAAAGCACTTGATATATAACCAGTGTCGTAACCAAACATAAACCCCGATATCGAAGATGCAAGGGTTATCAATATCACCAAGAACGATGGTTTGGTATTGGACTCGGTCATCTCCAGTAAATTGGTGGTATCCAAATCACTTATTATATCAGTAGAAGGTTTTGGCACATTGTTGGGTATTAAGTTCCTCGAGGAATCAGCAGACGTGTTTGACTGCGATTGATTAATGTCATGTTCCATGACAACTGAATCGGGTTGTTTGGCCATCTTTGAATAGTTTATCGAATGTCTAATATAAGCAGAAAAACGCTAATATTTAAAGGATCTGAAAGATTTTGAAGAATTCTATGGATTATTGACAATTCTTTTTGTGCTTCGGCGAATTTTTCCCGTCAGCCAATCAAATTGCACGAATAGGGGCCGGTGCAACGTAACCGTAACAGTTTTTCGGCGAGGCAACCGAAGAGGCTCACGTGACTGTTAATCTGCAAACGTTTTGGGGCGGGCAAGGTAAACTGCAATTTGTGGTGAGTGGTGGGGTACGGGTGCAAAGAAAAATCAAGTGGTCTTTATACATGGCTAAAGCATAATCCTTTGTGGTTACTGAGTTGGCTTGGGCTTGTGATAGCAGCAGTTTGTTTAACCAAGTTTGAGATGTTGTTGAACAAGTCGCCGAAAAGCTTTCAAGGATTAGAATGTTATGTTGATCTTCATGTAATCAAATATATAGAAGGATGCCGCCAAATGGTGTCGTCTCCTGTTTTATAGATATTATTTATTGATTATTGCCTTGATTTTTTGATCGCTTTTTCATTTTAGTGGTTTTGATTTAATACGTAAGGATTATTTTAGCTTTAGGGAATGGAGGTTATTTCTACCACAGTCATTCAAGAGTATACGGCTTGAAGTGATTTGAAGCAAATACTTAAGTATACGCCTCATCCTTTTGATCTACGATTTGCCTTCAACTACTTTGCTGACTCGATGTTTCAGTTTTGCAGCAACTGTGAGAACTTTTATATTTGGGTGCAAAGGGGGTTCTTGATCAACACTTGTCACTTCTTCTTGTCACTTCTTCTTGTCACTTCTTCTTGTCACTTCTTCTTGTCACTTCTGATCACTTCTGATCACTTCTGATCACTTCTGATCACTTCTTCTTGTCACTTCTAATCGCTTCTTCCTATCACTTCTAATCACTTCTTTTTAATCGACACTGAACCACAATTATTACCACTTCCTGGTCAATTTCGTCAGCTCATTCAACCTTGTTCCGGTGATCAGGATAACTGTATACATGAAGCGAGAGTAACTAGTACAAACCAGTACTGTCCTAGTTTAAGACAACCCCAAAAAGCTCAAATTGCAACTATAATAATCAGTTAGCATTAATTAGTAGTAAATGAGGTGGTTCACGTGATCTGGTGTACCGATGTCAATTATCCACCAATTAAATTTAATCAGTTAATAACAGGTAATCTCGAGTCGCATCATAACCAATAAACACCGAGTGAAAGGAATTTAACGATCCGTTACTACATTAGCTAATAATATGATACTTTTATTAAGTGTTTTTTTTAAAGATTTTCAATATTGAATGAATGTAGAATCAGGAAAGACAAATGTAGAATAAAATAAATAGATAAAAAAAAGATAGAGATAGTAGTTTTTACAAGATAAACAGATATTCAGATAATTAGGTATTAATCAGTGATTAATGTTTCTTTGGAGGGTCGAATCTGATTTTTCTGTTTTTAACTGGTTGCCATTTGAATCTTTTAACCCAGACACTTAATAAGTATAAGGAGGAAACAACAATGATAGTTTTCAAACCCCATTTCTTTCTTTCATCATGTTCTGGTTCAGAAGCCCAATTTAAGAAAGTAACAACATCTTTAGCCATTTGAGAAGTTGAAGCAGGAGTACCATCTTCATATTCAACCAAATCGTCAAACAAAACTCTACCCATAGCAATAGAACCACCTGGGAAATAAGGATTATAATTAGAACCAGGAGGTAAAACAACACCAGCAGGAGGTTCTTCAGGATAACCGGTTAATAAAGCAAAAATATAATCACAAGCACCATGTCTAGCTTTAACAATTAAAGATAAATCTGGAGGTAAAGCCCCTTGATTAGCAGATCTAGCAGCTTGTTCATTTTCATAAGGACCTTGTATGTAATCAGCTAATTTACCTGGTCTCTTTTTTGGTTTACCTTCATCATCTGGTTCATCATCATATTCTAATTCTTCAGCAAAAGCTTTAGCTTCACTAGTAGTATGAGAAACACCAACTAAATTTCTCCATGCAATTCTTTCTAATGAATGACATGAAGCACAAACTTCTCTATAAACTTGGAAACCTCTTCTAATTGATGCATGATCAAAAGTATCAAACATACCATTATGGGACCATCCATAAGCTGGTGGATGTAACCCGTGTTCAGCAGCAGTCATAGCATTAGCAGAAACACTATCTTGATATAAAATATATGATGCAGTTAATCCACTAACTCCAAATGAAGTAGCAAGAATTCTTTGAAACATTGGATTAGCTATTCTTGATTTGAACATCTTTATTATGCAATTATATTATATGTTATAAAAAATGATCAAATTGAAAAATGAATAATTAAAATCTTATGTTAAATGAACTGAATGAATAGCTTAGAGATACAAGAAAAGGTATTCTAATGTAGTCTAATAAGAAGTGAAAACAACGAAAAAAAAAAAAAAAAATGCTCTAGTTAAAAAAATTTCACCAGAGCCAAACAAAAAAAAAAAAAAAAAAAAAAAATTACAGCGAGAGAAGGCAGAAGACAACTAAATCTTCATACACCAATGCTACTACAAGTGTATAATCTTACTTTGTATCAGAAACGGCTGTAGTGTCATGCTCTACAATCCCACTCCCGGGGTGATATCTTGCTAGTATGGCTCGCTACTAATCATCGTTGACTAATTTAATGAGCATTAATATTTAAATCAACCGAACGCTAATTGGCTGATTGAATTCGCAGTTTTTGAAGAAAAAAAAAAGTATCGGGTGCACGGGTGAATTTTATGTGGTGCACGGGTGAACTTGGTTATATTGACTCGTTTGTGACTGGCCCAAACAAGAGGGTGGAGGGCACGACTGCTCATTTAAGTTCGTAGGCGGTTTGTAGTAAGTTTGATTCACTTCCCATGTCTCAGGAGATGTTGGTTCAAGTTAGAAAAAAAAAAGAGGTTGGCGTTACAGACAGGATTCGAACCTGCGAAGGTAAAACCCAATGCCTAACAGCTAACTTGGTAATTAGCAGGGCATCGCCTTAACCGCTCGGCCACTGTAACAGTGTTCGAAACAATTCGGGAATCTAGATTTGTGTGTTGTGAATGCTTTCACAGGCACTTTGACGTTAGTCTTTTTTTTGACTTCTTAATATGATACTTTTATGTACAGACTCTACTCCCAGAAACACGTCATGTCTTAGTTATTTGGAATTTTTAACAACTTTGGAAAAGTTTTGAGTTGGGGTGATTTTAGAACCGAATCTCTTCAAGAATTTTCTAAAGCGACTGCGAGAAATTAATTTCTTAATACGCTACTTTGAATCTTTACTGATGGTAGCTAAACCATACTTCGACTCTCTTAAAGAATGCTGGCTTTGAGTAAGTATCGTTGAGTCAGTTGCGTGAAAAGGGAAAAAAGAAAAGACAGGGAATGGAATATAGCCTAAAAGAATTACGAGTGAATCAACTAACTTTCGGCAATAGTACCAGTATATAAACTGAAGGAAGCCTCTCGCTTTCGCCTGATGTCATGGAGAGGATAAAATTGCATAACGCTTTGCAAATATCCTTACAAAAATCGACAACATTAATGAGAGTATAAGAAATTCGATAAAACAAAATCCGTGGGAATGGCGTTTGATTATTCAAGTTACCTGACTCAATCATATACTCCAGTTATGTCTCGAGGCTCTTTCACTTCCCCGCCCATTCTATCGGTGCTGCTGTCTTAGCTCATCATTCCCAAACTATCGTCTGTACGCAGTTTGCACATTCTTAATATCCATAAGAACTTTTGGATTGAGCTCTCTGAATAAATAATAAACGAGTGCAAAATTTGCCAGATAAATTTGAGATAAAGATTTATACAAAAACCTGAATAAATAGTGAAAACAATTTTGTATAACAACTTGTTTCCGACATAAAGTACATGATATTCACACTTTCAAAAGAGTCAAGGAACGGAACCTGGCATTATGGTGATTTGCAAATCATCCTTCAATTTTCGGTTTTTTTTTGCTTACAATTAATTTATCAAATCCAAGACTTTTAAAGTGAGAATAATTTTGGCATAGAAAAGATTCAAATATCATAACTAGTACTTAGCAGATCAATATTCGTGGCTTATGTTAATTGTTAATTGTATACAATCAGATGAACAAAATATGTAAGTTTGTTTAACCACTTAAATAGAAAGATTTTTAGTAAAAGTCATAAGACAAACTCCATATGCAACTAGAATATAATTTATAAAAAAGTATGTTTTTTGTAGTCATGGGAAATAAAACTCAATGGATTAAGAATCATGGATATGTTGGATTACTTTTATTTAATGAGATCGCTGTAGAAATGATCTAACATTTTGCAACCGATATTGCATACCGGACTTAGAAACATCGATCAGACATGGTTAACAATTTTTTATTCTTAAAACTATTTCTGTTTGGTATTACCGTTGAACTTTTGACGAAAAATCCCACCAGTTGTAGATGTTCAAACTGTTCTCAAGAACATCTGTCCCACAAACACAATTTTATTTCACAAAAAATTAATTGCAAAAAAGAAGAGTCTACAGCACGATGGTTTCCATTATGGTCTCCCACTAACGTACTCAGCATCGCTCTCAGCAGCTTAATAATTATTGATCGGACGGGTAATCATGCTTTATGCTGGATATGGCCGTAGACGACAAATGAAACCGGGAATGTTTATAAGATAGGTTTTATATTTAACCCCTCCGTACACCACATAATATGGCTGCAAAAAATGGGGCCATTTTCTTTCGTTAATCTTTGTTATGTACTGTCAGACCATGAAGGTCTGCAGATGATGTAATGGCCTATCTATATTGATAGGTAAAATACTTCATTAAATGAAGATACAAATTATATTTAAAGTTTTTGTCAATCCATAAATGAGGCATTCTGATAATGTGCATATATAAATAAATAGGCATTTCCATGTTAAATGGAAAAATCTTCTACTCGANGTGGGCCGTGGACCAAAGTGATGCTTCTAATTGGTTGAAGCATGGTCGTCGACCTATGGAGAGTTCTTTATATTCGGTAATAAATATTTCTATATAATATTTACATATTGGCTTTGGATACTTAAGCTTAATCATAATAAGTTATTTTCTCCCTTTGAATAACGTGAAAAGGTTAATCTGACAGTATCGAATTAATCCACTCTACCAAATATTAGTATGTATCTGACTAATACCATTTATGCGCGTGTTATGGTCAACCGTACTAGAACCATGTATCTAATACTAATGGATACTGGTGGTTGATTATGGGTCTGATCTACCCACATAACCCGATACCCACATTACCCGATATGTACTATTCAATAGTGGATTCAATAGTGGATTCAGAAGTGTATTTAGTAGTGTAGTCAATAGTGTAGTCGATAGAGTGTTCAATAGTGTAGTCAATAGTGCCTAGTTCTTTAAAATGATGTTCAATTGTTCAATTCTTCAAAGAGTGGGAGCAAAAAGTGAACCAGATGCCTTCCATCATCTAGACTGTATTCATTTGAAATAGTTGGTATACCACTACATACCACATAATGAGTTTTATTATAGAGCTTGTAATCTTGTGTATTGCTACATTGAAAGAAAAAAAAAAGCTATTTACTGAGGTCCCAATGTTAAATGAAGGTGTAGCGTAACCTCTTGTCTGGCACTTCGAAGACCGGGGGAAGATCAAACTATCTTCGTTTCAGATTGGTATTCATTTGAATGATCTTACATTACTTTAATGTCCTAGTTGGAAAAAAAAGTCATATTTATTGGTAGATTTCGAACACCTTAAGTGTATATTTAAACTACCTAAATTCCTTTTCCCTAGCCCAACCTTATCTAAGTAGATTACTTTTTAGATTTCCGGTGATCTATTGCTTTGCAATTTACAACTTTGTAGTCCGTTAGTACCCGTAATCGGTTTATTTGATTATGGCGTTGGTAATCAGAAAGTTTAGGCCGGTGTTTACCAAAATGTAGTCTTTCAACTTGCATCCACTCTCTCGATAGGGCTTACTGGTTAGACACTCGTGGTATTGTATTAGAGTGTGGTAGTTTTTTATGGACCCTAGTGAAGGAGATGCTATTAAATTTGCTAACAAAGATGAAACAAGTTCTTAACATTTGAAAAATATTATCAGCTAAATGTTCCAATGATCCTGGTACTTTGATTCTCTATCTAAAGCCTTGATTGCCTTAGATACTTTGACATCAGAGGGCGAATCACGACATCGATGGTACGTATAACGTGAACTATATGGATTCGAAATATTGAGAGAACCTATCGGGTTATGTGGGTTGATCGAGCCCATAATCAACCACCAGTATCCATTAGTATTAGATACATAGTTCTAGTACGGTTGACCATAACACACGCATAAGTAGCATTAGTCAAATACATACTAATACTTGGTAGCACAGTGGATTAATTCGATACTGTCAGATTAATCTTTTCACGTTATTCAAAGGGAGGAAATAACTTATTACGATTAAGCTTAAGTATCCAAAGCCAATTTGTAAATATTATATAGAAATATTTATTACCGAATATAAAGAACTCTCCATAGGTCGACGACCATGCTTCAACCAATTAGAAGCATCACTTTGGTCCACGGCCCACGTCGAGTAGAAGATTTTTCCATTTAACATGGAAATGCCTATTTATTTATATATGCACATTATCAGAATGCCTCATTTATGGATTGACACAAACTTTAAATATAATTTATGTCTTCATTTGATGATGTATTGTACCTATCGATATAGATAGGCCAGTACATCATCTGCAGACCTTCAAGGTCTGACAGAACCTTGAATGCTCTAATTTTCAAGAAAGAAACCATAATACTTTGATAAGAGGAAATGCTATAAAAAGGCTATTTCAAGTCACTCACCGCATAAGACAAACGAGTAATTCGATCATAAATCAAAAACTTATTAGCTTGATATCCATCATAAAATACTAGAAACAAGCGTTCAGTACGAGACAGCTTCACCAGTCCATACAAGTGACTAGACTTTCAGATCTTGTGCTTAGTCGAAGTCAACAACTATAGATTTGCAGAGATAGAACTGAGCTGCTTAGTTTCATCCAATACTTGCGAATTAATTTACAAAATCTACAAAAAAAGCAGTTCAAGCCCTCCCCTCCCAATTGACCCATATATTTAATAAACCATGCGTGAAACATGTAAACTGAGCCATTGATAAAACCAGCTACAATCGAATGCCTCTGGCTGCAAATGAGTTGGAGCAAACCCGTGGATGTACGGGTGTATCTCTGTGAAATCGAATTGATCACGTGATATAATTGTGATTACATAATCACAAACCCGACCACGCCAAAAAATGACTTTTAGACGGTTTTCATTTTTTTTTTTTGTTTTGTTAGCGATTTCTATTTATTTGTTTACGTTTTGATTTGGGAACACGCAATCCCATTCATTTGGTTGTTGAGTTGAACTTCAAGGTTGGTAGTTTAAATTAAAGTAAAGACATTAAACCCAGAGTAACATAGCACATTCTCAGGAAAACATATCCAGGACCATCTCAGTGGGTAGTTGTTTACATAGTGTTCTGAACAAAGCACAAAAGACTTTATTGGACAAGTTTTAAGTTGAAGAAACAAAAAAGATTAAAATCCCTACTCCTTTTCCTTTGAATTGAAAAGATAGTTTTAACTAAATATTGGATTAGAAAGCTGTATCAAACCATTTCAACGATTATAGCAACTTGTTCAAATATTAGTTATTGAAATAATTAAAAAAGAAGAGAATAAATCAGAAATAGAAATCAAAGTTATATTCTAATCCCTTAAGATACCCTAGGCTGCTAGACGATTAGGAATTTACCTTTGATACCCTTTATTTATTATTATTCTTTTTTTGTTTTGCGAAGTTCTTTGTTGAGTGTCTTTAGAATTTACTGAAACTTATTAACAGGGAAGAAAATAGATATTAATTTATTAGATTAAAAGATTAAAGATGGATGAGAATAATCCTATGAAAAAGCCAACTTCTAAAGTTATTGATTCTTTACATTCACAGATAGATTCATTGAAGAATGAATTAGATTCAATCAAGATATCTCATGATGATTATAAGAAGAAATATTCAATTATAGCTAAAAAAAATGATTCATTTGTTGATCAATTAGCAAATGCAAAACATGAAAATGATATGATCAACGCATTGTTGAAAAGAAAAGAAAGAAGAATTACTGATTTAGAAGATCAATATAACGAATTATGTTCAACAAATGAATCATTAAATTTAAATAACAAAAATATGAAGATTAGATGTGAAAATTTACAAGAATCATCAGCATCATCTACTGCGGAATTTGAAAGATTGAAAATTGCTTATGATGCATTAATTGCTTCACAGGTTGAATATAAAAAACATTATCAAAAAGAATTGAATCAATTAACTGTTAATTTTGAAGATTATAAGAAACAAAATTTAGCTAATTTTGAAACTTTATCAAATAAATTATTAAGTAATGATAAAGATGTTGATACATTATTAGATAGTTTAACTAATAAGAGGAAAACTATGGATAATTTATATGTTAATAAAAATAAATCAATTTTAGAATTATTAACAAAATTGGCTAAAACAGCAAAAATTCATGGACAAGAATCAAAAATTATTTTATCAAATAATGTTGATATTATAAATCAATTGAAATTAAAAATTCCTGATTTAGAAATAAAAATTGCTAACCATGAAAATATTGAGATTGATTTAGATGAAATTTTAAATGATACCAATGAAACTTTATCAAACAGTTCATTTGATGAAGAAGCAACCTTAATTAGTAGTCCCGATCCTCAAAAAGATGATTCTAATTCAAATACTCCAAAGCAGTCTCAGCCAATTCAATCTTTGAGTAGAAATAATACAATGTCTTCAAAGAGAAGAAAAAACAAGCGTAATTCAATTAGATTTGATTCATCCAAATCATCAAATCCTGATTTTTCTTCAATTAATACCCCAACCCAATTGAATATTCCAAAAAGAAATAGTATTAATTTGAATAGTCCAAATACTACCCCAAGAAATTCAAGTTTTAATCAATCTTTTGATTCAAGAACTCCAACTCCTCCTGAAGAGATGCATAAGTACCCAAATTACAACAATAATTATAACAATAATAATTATAACAACAATAATAATTTTAATAATGGTGGGTATCATAGTCGTAACGGAAGTATTAATGGTAATCCACGTTACAGAAATACTAGTGGTTCAAATATCCCAATACCTAATCAAAATAATCAAAATAATCGATCCAAGAGAAGATCATTATATGGTAATCAATTTAACAACAATAATAATAATTACCGAGGTAATCACAGTAGGCAAGGTTCACAACAATTTGAATCACTTACTTTGAATAATTGATTAATAGTTTTATATATATATACATAGATATATACTTTTTGCGATTTGTTAAATATATATGGTTGATTTTTATAGTTGGAAAGATTCGATTAACCCATCACCGAATCCAATAACTAATAAGTTACCGTTTAAAGCGGATTTTTTCCTAATTAAATCTTTATAAGTATTTTGGTAATTGTTTTCTAAGTTGAGTATACTAATTTGAGTGATTTTTAAATTATCTTCATTTTTAGATATTCGTTCAGTCTTTCTATAGTATTTCCATAATTCGAATTTTGTCGTCAAGTCATAAATCTTAATAACCCCATCCCAGAATAACCCAATTAACAACTGGTCATAAGTGACTAGTTGTTGTATACCGTAATGGTTTGAAGGTATTGTTTTGCAATCGGTATGGAAGAAGATTGATTTCCCCGTTGATCCTGAAATCAATTGGCTATTATAAGTTAAAGAAAGAATTGGGTTTGGTTGATGATATTGATTAATCTCATCAACAGTAACTTTACAATCTTTGTTTATTCTAGTTTGTGTGTCGGTTACTTTGACCAGGGGTAATACCAAGTTAAAAGTAATTAAAGCACCCGATTCATAACCAATTATAAATTGGTTATTTGAAGTAAACATTACCTTCATCATCGAGCCAAACTTACCCCTTTTCAAGTGGTTAACTTCATCATCGATATCTTCTTTATCCTTGTAGAGTTGATAAGGATCGACATTATGAAGCAATCTTTTCAATTCAAATTTTTCTGATTCAAATAATGAATATAAGTCAAATTTCTCTGAATCAATAGTACTTGGACACAATAAATAGCCTTCGATTACATCGATATTACAGAAGTTCAACGTATTGATTGGCACTTCAGCATAGCACGACTCCACGTTTGTCAAATCCCATAATTTCAAACTGTGGTCTTTGGCATGACTTAGTATTAATCCATTGTATAGTTTTTTCAACGTTATTATCGAACCCCGATGGGCTTTCCATTTCTTGATTGGTCTCTTCTTGACTAGATCCCACCAAACCAAGTCTCCCTGGGAATCTCCGCTAATCACCTGATTTTCTACCGGCAATAATGCGGTAATTGAACTGTCGTGGCTTCTTAAAGAGAATTTCTTAACTGGCTTCATTAAAGAGTAGTAGTTGTTAAAACAAACCTCCGTACATTCTCCTTTCAACCTACCTCATTACATTTCAGCCACTTGCATAAGTGTTCACTATCCACTATACTATTTACCCTGCTACTGACATCACTCTACCATTAACAATGCTATTTACAATGCTACTCACATTCAATATAGCCCTCCCACTCACCGATTCACCTTCAATTCACCAGACCATTCACTTATATGGTGGGTGGAACCCCGGAGTGCTCACGTGACACTCACGTGAGCACAAAAACTTTTTCGTAAACCTCCGAAACCTGCTCCGAACATCACCGGATAAATCATGTTACAGACTACGGTTGCACTGTCTAGATCAATCAGATAATTTCGCCAGCCAATCAGGCTAGAGTCAGACAAAAATAATGCCTTGACACAACAAGTGCCTAAACCGGTGCCTAAAAATAATTAGAATAAGCAGCAGTTCTTAATCCAACCAGAAGGGCAAGGCAAAGACATCACAAAGTATCAAATTATCAGTTTAATCTTATTCGGTCGCCGGGCACGACCGATGTCAAAGCTGTCAAAATTGACAGGCCCAAGACATTCGATGTCACAGGATGACTGTCGGGGTGTAGTCTGGGTACATTGGTGGTGTATGGGGGGTACATTGTAAGGATAGGTAGTATATGCTCTGATACGGTGGTCCCGGGTTGGTGATACTATGTTGGTAAGGTGTAGTTCATGTTGCAGTTCATAGGGAAACCAGGATCGGTAAAAAGAAACGATGAATTGGTGAACGGGGATTGGCTAGTGGCTTACTAGATTTAATAGATAGCTAAGGCAAAATTCGAATAATTTACTTCAAGGTACATGTAACACAACCCGCCTACAATTAGAATGAACGGCATGAGATTATGAAACAAAGGACCGAACAATAACTTTACCTTATTTGTGAATTTTTTTTTTCTTTATTGAAGTTAGTTAATTTTATGAAATGGGTATAAATCAGTATATTGTAGAATGGTAAATTGGTATAAATAAGAATTGAAATTCCCCTAATTGTAGGCTTTTAGATATTTTCTCTTTATCCACTCTATATTCTTTGATATTAGACCCCCTCCCTCAAAGAATTAATTGGGTAACTTAATATACTTATTTGAAAAATGGTGAATGTTTTCAATGTTCAAATTTTTTTCATTTGTCTTAGAGAATCATTAGAAGCCGTTGTTGTGGTTTCTGTTCTTTTGGCATTTGTTAAACAAGGTTTAGGTGGTCCAAATAATGATTCTTCCACTTATAAATCCCTTAAAAAACAAATTTGGCTAGGGGCGATTCTAGGAGTTATTATATGTTTGATTTTAGGTGGTGCTTTTATTGGTACTTTTTACTCTCTTGGTAACGATATTTGGTCTGCTTCTGAAGATTTATGGGAAGGTATTTTTTGTATCATTGCAACCATTTTAATTTCTCTTATGGGGGTTGCAATGTTGCGTATTAATAAGATGCAAGCTAAATGGAGAGTTAAATTAGCTCAAGCTTTAGTTAAGGTTCCTGAACATAAAAAGGATCGTTTCAAAATTGGTTATCTTACCAAAAAATACTGTATGTTTATCTTGCCCTTCATTACTTGTTTAAGAGAAGGTTTAGAAGCGGTTGTTTTCGTTGGTGGGGTTGGCTTAAACTCTCCTGCTACTTCTTTCCCAATTCCAGTTATTTGTGGGATCTTGGCCGGTTGTTTCATTGGGTGGTTATTATACTACTTTGGTTCAACCATGTCTTTACAAATTTTCTTGATTTTTTCAACTTGTATCTTGTATCTTATTGCCGGTGGGTTATTTTCAAGAGGTATTTGGTATTTCGAAACTTATGTTTATAATCAAAAAACTGGTGGTGACGCTTCTGAAAATGGTTCTGGTCCTGGTACTTATGATATTACCAAATCAGTCTGGCACGTCAATTGTTGTAATCCTGAAATTGATAATGGTTGGGATGTCTTTAATGCTTTATTGGGTTGGCAAAATTCTGCTACTTATGGTTCAGTTATCTCTTACAACATCTACTGGTTGGCTGTTATCCTTACCTTGGCTTTAATGTTATATGAAGAAAAAGTTGGTCACTTACCTTTCTGTAAGAATTTAACTTTGGCTCAATTAAATCCAATGTACCATATCAAGGGTAAAAAGAAGAATGAATTATCTCAAAAGGAACAAGATGAATTATTTGAAAGGGTTAGAAATACTAACTTTGGTCAAGTTCCTGATGAAGAAGATTCTGTTGAAAAAGAAGCTGTTGAAAAAGTTGTCAGTGATTCTGCTAACGTTACCAGTACTGATAAAACTCATGTTTAAGCTTATTAGTTCCTTTGCTTGTTTGACGTTTAAAAAGTCGTATCTTGGGTACTTTTACCCTTCTACACACACATATATATATAATAAGATACTTCTTTTTGACAACTAACAGCATTGAATTGATGCTTTCAAATTAATTTTTATTCTTTTTGAGGGGGATGTACTTCATTCTTACAATCTTGGGGGTCTTAATCTTTTACTTTTTATTTCTTATTCGTTATAGAGCCGGGTCGTTCATTTATTTTTATATTTTCTTTCGTGTCTTAATATTTATATGGGTCTTATCTTTTTATCTTATAATTAACGGGTTTATTTTATTAATATTTATTGTAAGTCTAATCATCAATCATTATAAGCTATTTATTAAACTCAAATTCATTCTCACTGTTTTTCAAACCTTCGTTCAAAACAGATTCAAAATCTCGTTGTGAATATATCGGATTACCTTCAATTTCTTCAATTTCTTTATTTAAGATTGTAATCATATTCATACAATAATCATTCAAACGGAATATTTCACTAGGATCAAAAACTTCAACAAAGAAATAAACATCTAATTTTAAATTCCCGTATTCCTTGAATCCTTCATTTTGCTTTAAATCTCTTAAATTGTTTAAGAAACTATTGAGGAAAAAAGTTTGCAATTCATTAATCATATTTTGAAATATTTCAACTCCAGTTAATGGTTTAACTATATGGATTAATTTTATAAAATGAATTAAAATTTCATATATAAATCCATCGATCTTTAATTTAAATTTATTGGAACTTACGTATTTACCATTTATCTTATTAAAATGTTTGAAAACTTTGGTTTGAATCCATTCTTTTTCTTTCATTAATACATCGTCGAAAATCGTTAATGATGCCTTATCAATGTCCGAATATAACTTCAATGTTTGATTCAGTAAATCTTTTTTGAACAATAAATCATACTTCTTAATGATTCTTGGATAAATGAAATTTGATAACAAGTCGAAATTGTTCATGGTCAATATTTTGAATATTTCGTGTTCCAAGTTATTATTAACATCAACACTTTCTGAAGTATTCTTTGAAATAATTGTATTCTTCTCTTTCTCTAAGTTATACTTCTTCATAAGTGAGTCAATTAAAACATTCATACTTCTCATAAATTGAATTTCAATACTAACCAAAATTCTTTTATTCGGGTGACTTGCAACGATCCTTACCTTTTCTGTTGTAGTGGCATCCACTTTTTTATCAAATACTAATTGAGATAACTTGGTTAATATGTATGTTTCATAACTTTCCAAAACTCTCATTGTTTTCGTATATATTGATTTCGAATCTTTGGTTTGATATACTTCATAGTTATCATTAATTTTTTCCCAATTCTCTAGATCATAAAATTGTGAACAATCATTAACCCAAGTCGAACAACAAGCTTCTAATATTTTTTGATCGATCAAGTTAGAGTAATCTCTTAATTTATGAACAAATTTATTGGTATCAACATTCTTCGAAGTATTACCAATTATAACAATGTTTTCACCTATTCTGGTTAACCAAAGGTCAATTTTTTTAGAAATATTAGTCAAATAAAAAACGGTTGATAACGAGTTAGTGTAATAAGGCAAAAAGTGTGTGTAATTTTCAGGTAATGAAGTCATTTGATCAACCAATTCATTGTTATTAAAAATTTTAACTAATCTTGAAGTTGAATCTTTCATTAAACTCAAAAATAAATCTCTTATTTTACCATCGGGATCGATATTAAACCCATTTTCAACCCGAGTATAATGTAAGTAATTATTGACAAACTTATCAATATTTTTAAGAAAAACATCATTTAAATAATTCATATAATTGATTAATATTAACCAAGTTTCATTAATAATGGACAAATCTAAATTATCACTGCTTTCGAAACTTTCAATAACCAACTTTTCTCTCTGTTCTTTACTTGGTGCACTCGTGGTAGTGAAAGAAGTTTTAAGAATTTCTTCGATTGATATATACTTTTCATTAATATATCTCATAAATGAACCATTTTCTCTATGATCAACTAGTGATCCAATGTAATCCAACAATTTTCTTTGCATCATTGTGAATTTTGCATCGAACTTATTATTTTGATAGTCTAAATCTTTTGATAAAGTGTTTAATTGAACTACCAAAAATTCATGAATTGGATTTTTAGTTGAGCCTTCATTATCTAATTGATAGACAGTATCAACGAATGATATGAATTTCTCACTAGTATTTTTGTCGTTATTGTTTTCATCGCCCAAGCCAACTTCATGATCCATAGTAATAAGTTCTTGGTAAATCTTTTTCCTGTATTCATTAATTATATTATCAACTTCATTGAAAATTCTTGATAATGCATTTGTACATACAATGTGTTCAATTTCCAAATCCTTTAATCGATTAGCATCTTTTATAGGGTCTAGAGAATCCAAGGCTCTTTGATACCTTCTTGACTTAGACTCCATCAATTCATCCTTTTCTTTTAAGAATCGATGGTAATCATCGATAAATTGATTATGATTATTAGATGAAATATATTTTAATAAATTATTTGGTAAATCAAAGAAAAACTTGTTTTCCTTGATGAAATCAATCAACTTCAGAATTTTCAATTCCTTCAATGAATGTTCTTCTATAGGTCTCATCATCAAGTCGGAGGCGATTTGTAAATTACTTAAAGATTCTTCTAATTCACTTGATAAGGAATCATTTTTAACATTTGTTTTATGTCTCGAGGGATTGAAAACTTTACTTTTATCTCTCTCTTGTTGAGTATGACTTTTTGAATTTTTAAAATTAACCAAAACATTATCAATCGCTTGTTTGCTATTAATAAAATTTATAAAATTATCATTAATGACTGCTTTTAATTCACTAGTTTGATTTTCAATATTTCTTTCTAAGAAACTTAATGAAACATTTAAATCATCGATTGATGAGTTTTCATGGATTATTGATAAATACTGTTTTGAATCAAACTGTTTCGAGTTTATCAAAAATTTACTCAAATTTGGATCATGAATTGATGAAATAATATTACGATCAAGCAATTCTTTAACAATATTCTTGGGTCTTTTACTCAATGGATCATAATAGTCGTCATCGTTGTTATCGTATGTATTGGTCATATTCAAATTGTCATTAATGATTTGATTTAATATATTAAATTGTTCATCGGTTGATTTATCATTCAATTCATCAATGTCAAAGAGATCATGGTCCAGCAGTAAATTCAAATCATTTACTGAATTGAGATTCAATGAATCAATACTGTAGAATGACAACAACGTCTGGTCCAGGTCATCATAGTTAATCATTGTGCAAAGTTTTGCTAATAAAGAAGTATTTGTTGTTATGATGGAGTTTTTCGAGTTGATTTGATACCGCACTTCAAGATTTTTTTTTTTTAACTACTGCAAAAAAGGGCCCCATTGGCAAGTTTTATAATAAAATGACTACAGCGAAGAGACTATATGGTGTATTAAAGAGTGAATTGAGCTGGTTTAGGTTTTTAGTATGTATTAGTTATTTAAATATTTGAAATAGTGGTGAAAATAAAAGAATTATCTCCATAAACTATACTCTTGATGTTGAGCATCTTGATCGTTAACGCTGGCCGAGACAGCAGCAACCGCAGCATTCGCAATCGATGTTGCTTCATCATCGATTATTGAATCTTTATTATTGATTTTTTTAGAGTCATCATTTTCAACTTTAATTTCATCTTTAACTTGAGGATTATTTAAGTTGAAATCATTAGTAACGTTTTCAATTTGGCGATCTAATTGGTCGTTTAAATTTGAAGCTTGATCATTTTCAACCAAGGAGTTGTTGTATAAATGGTTGATTAGTTTATCGAGTAATTGATCCAAGGGTAAGTTTTTATGATCTTTAATTGCCGACTTAATTTTATCAAACCAAATAATTAAATCATTTGAACTGAATATGATATTATCATTTAATTTTTTATCGGATTTGATTGCTTGATTAAAATTGGAGAAGACCGAGTCCCAATTAATCTGTTGAATATTTTGAAAATTTAAGTTTTGTAAATTGGTTAATAACCAAAGTTTTGTTGAATTGTTCATTAATTGAATTCTTTGGATTGTTTCTCTTTTCATTAATTTATTCCATTTATAACGACATTGAATTCTTGATCTTTGGCCATTCATTTTTTCACTGACTAAAGTCCAGTTAATTGGTATTGGGTGGCCTCTAAAATTTGAAATCATTTCAACAACAATATCTTTTAACTTAGTTTCTTCATCAATTGACCATTTATTCAAAGCTCTATTTTGACCACACTTGACATAATTTCTCCAACGATCTCTACAATCTTCGGGCATTCTGTTCATAATTTCTCCAATTTCTTTCCAATTACCAATTTTAGTTGTGGCCAATTCATTTAATATTTCATCATCTTTAACTGACCACTTAGCTCTAACTTGGAAAATATGGTATTGTCTCTTAACATGTTTATAAACTGAAGCTCTTGATCTATAAGGTAAAACTCTTGTTAAAGATTCCCAAAAATTATCTTTTGTTCTTTCATTTGACCAAACTCTATTACAAACATCTTGTCTTGACAATTTATTTAAATGACAATATCCAGCAACAAAATGATCCACCGCATTGATTTCTTCTTGTGAAAATGGTCTCGGACCAGTCGAATTATCAATGGAAGAATTGAACCAATTACATGCCTTTTCGCTTGCTTCTTGGATTAATGATTCAATCGAGGTGTTTTCATTAAATTTTGGTTTTGGAACGGAAGGCTTAACTTTTTTATTCAAAGGTTTCTTTGTTCTTTTATTTGATAACGATGATGCTGCTTGAGCTAATTGATTTATTGCTGATATTGATTCATTATTCGGATGTTGTTGTAATGAGTTTGATGCAGCCATTAATACTTGATGGGCTTGGTTTGGTGGTAAATTACTTAATTCGGATGATCCTAAATGCTTGGCTAACTCTCCTGCTCCCATTATAGCTGCTTGAACTAATTGATCATGTTCATGATTTTCTGTTGTTGTGCCGGTTGTTGTTGTTGTAGGGTTGGTTTCATTTGAATTTAAGTTGGATAGTTCTGGATCAATATCAGTATGAACCCTCTTCCTTTTCTTCTTGGGCGTTGTCTTTGTTGATAAATCATAAGAATCAAAAATGGAATCATTTGGATTTGCAACTTCATCTGCTAAAAATTTATCCCATTGATATTCTGAAAGATTTGAAATAACATCGTCATTTCTCTTTGTCTTCCGATTCTTACCATCGGTTTCAAGAGTTCCTCCAACAAACCTCATAACTGCAGCTTCCACTGCATCAGTTATTTGTTGATTTGTTTTATCATCATCGGTTGTTTCATGATTTTCATGATTTTGATGATTAATATATTGTTCATAATTAATATCCGATAAATGGTTTTCCTCTAAATCCTCTTCTTTCTGTAATTTAGTCCCTAACTGAAGTAATGCTTGAGCTCCTCCGATCTCCAGTTGGTCTTCATTCATTTTGCAACTATTAAAAGGTTACCCGGTATATTTAATGTTGTAGAAGTAGGGTAACTTTATCTCATCAATTTTTTATATGTTTAATTAACCTGTATAAAATACGTAAGCTGTAAATATCTGGTATCCAATCTGTAATATTATTGTGCTAACATGCACATGTTGAAATGAAACCTGCAGTTTTGTAACATGCAAATATCTCCTTTGTAAACTGTAATGGTTGTATGCACGGGTGTATGACTGCATACTTACTACTTAATACTTATGCTTAATACTTAATACTTACTACTTGGTACTTATGCTTAATACTTAAGTAATACTTAACTAATACTTACTTAGTATCGCTGCTTGGTAATCAGTGTCCAAGATTTCATGCTTACTTAAATAATACTTACTTTTTTCTGCCCACTTATACTCAACTTACTGCAAATTAAGCATAACCGATTTATTTAAATATGCTAGCTAAAGGAATACCCTATACGTATAAATACAGAACACATGGTAGCACTCCCTCTTTCAACCACCAGCACAATGAAAATACCCGTTCTCTTAACTTTGTTTGCCCTCGCTAACAGCTATCCGGTGACAAAGTCAGAAGATTTCTACCTTGCAGCCTACCAGCCAAATAACTTGCTACAAGCAAGCTTGGAAATCGTCAAAGAGAGCCCTCACAACATTGTGGTTGACCCCAGTATCGAAGATAGAATCGAAGGATTTGTTGGCCCGGACTTGAAGGTCAATCTCACCAACAGCCAACAACTTACAGTCAACAATGAAGGCAGATTGGTTTACTCCAACACCTCCAACACAAGCTTCAGGGCATACCGAGACCGTCTCCAGTACTTTCAAGGAACCCAGTGGAGTGGCGACTGGGTTATTTGCTATCCCAATAACTCACTGGAGATTGGTTATGTTTACGATAATCTTGATGAAAACAGGGTATGTTTACGTACAAAACCAGTTATTTTGAGACCGTATTCTCTGAATGGCCACGGCATGATCCCAAGCTATCCGCTTCCTCTTTCCTTGGTCTAATAAGTGGGATCCATGCCTCTTTTCTATATAATTTTGCAGTAATAAATCAATCCAGGAGGAAAAATCCTGCACAGTGCGATGGTGTAGTATTAATTTTTTATTTGTTGTTCTTTTTCTATTTACAAACTAACTACTTATCACGATCACGTTTGAGTACGATACCAAGTGAATAGGTTTAGAAACGATTGAAACGATATATTGAATTTAAGGAATAGGATAATTTTTTTTGATTTGGGAAAAAAGGGGACAAACTCAAGTATTTGATAGAAAGAAAGAAAGAAGGAAAGAAAGAGATCATGAGTCTGCTTAGGGATTTGAGTAAATTACCAAGAAATGTGTTGGAGGAACGGTTTATTGAATTGGAGCAGATGTTGAACGATTTCCAGGAATCATCGAAAGATTTGGAAAAAGCATTAGAAGATGAGTTAACGATTCAGGAAGAAACCAATGAAAAATTGATTCAAACTATAAAACTGAAGGATTATGATATAAAGAAGGAAAAAGTTAAGAATTTGAACTTGAATAACGAATTGAATAAAGTGCAGAACGATGTAATTAGTCAAAAGAAGCATTATGAAGAACAAATTAACAATTTGAAATCGAGTTTGGTGTCAATTGAAATATCAAATGATTATATGGAATCAAATGATCGAGTATTACAATCGAAATTAGAATATTCTAATCAATTTAATAATGAGTTGTTAGAAAAACTAGCAATCATAGAAAATGATTTGGAATTAGAAAAAAATAAAAATATTGAAAATCAACTATTGAAAACAAATTATGAAAATAAAATTAAAGATTTGAAAAATCAAAAAGCGTTTTTAGAATCAAGATTATCTAATTATATTGACATTGATTCTGATGATCCTGATGATTTTGATAGTACGGTATTGAGTATGAAGGAAGTATTATCAAATGGACCACCAATTAATATTGTTCCAAGAACAGTATCATTACAAAAATGTCATGATTTAACCAATAATTTTAATATACTCAATGAAAAATTACAAAATTGGAATTTATCGTTATACGGTGATAAATTAAAATCAAATCCAACTACTCAAATTACAACAAATGATGATATAAACCATTCTAAAAAACTTTCAAAAATATCTCCTTCTCCTTCAATGCTAAATCTCTCAATTAATGATTATGATGATGATGATGATACCACAAATAGTCCTACCAAATATAAATCTTCAAATTCAATTAGTTCTTTTTCAACTTCTCCAATTTCTTCTTCTTCTTCTTCCTCTTTAAATCATTCTTTCAAAAAATCTCTTTCTTATCCTCATTCTCAAACTAATCATTCTGCTCATTATAAAAGAAAATCAATCAAAGGTCCGGTAAATTTAGATACTATCGAAGGTTCCCCCAATAATGTTAAAATTAATGATTCTAAAATAAATTCAAATGGCAAAAAGGGTTTATTTAGTCCTTTAAAATCTTTAGTTTAATTGCATCTTTATTTCTGTGTGCATCTTTATTTCTATTTGCATCTTGTATTATTAGTCTTTGCTATAGCATTCAATAAATAGCATCTCCTTCTGTACCTTCTGTAACTATACATTCACCTACTGCTCTGTATTTACCCTTCCTGTCTATATAAATTTCCTTTTCTATCTTTACTCAATTTCTATTTAATTTTTGAAAGTATGTAAGTTATATAGTGTATAAGTATAAATAAGTCTAGTTTAAGTATAAATAAGTCTAGTATAAGAATAAATAAGTCTAGTATAAGTATAGATAAGTCTAGTATAAGTATAAAAGGTAAGTAGTGAAAATGTCGCGGTGCACTAAAAACGATTTGGTGTTCAAAGTTGTTTATTTTTACCGCCAACTCTTCTTCAAAGAACAATTATACTTCATTCGTTAAAACATGTCTAGTGGATTCCAGGTGCTACTCGATGAATTCGATAAGAGCAAGATTTTTGATTATCTCATTCAATTAAATAGCAAGTTGCAAAATTATATAAAAGAAGAGGAGTTAAATTATGTTGAAAGTTTAGATGAATTGACTAAAATAGTTTCTAAGTTTGATATAACAATACCAACTGTGAAGCAATATAAATTGAAAGATTCCAATGAAGTTAAGAATTATGAGTTTTACCAGGATGAAATCTCGTTGAATATCTTCAAATTAATTTCGAAAAATTTAGTTTTAATATTTCATGAATTATCAAACAAAATCTTTGATTTTACCAATGGCTTGTTAAATCATTTGAATTTGAATGATCTTGGTGAATTGAGTCCAATAGCTAAAGGATCTATAGTGATATTGATTGATTTATTCGAAACTTATCCCAATTCTCTCAATTCATTGATAAATTTTTCAATTACTCAAATTTATAAGATTTTAAAGAAAAATTCAAATATAAATGATAATTTAATAGCTTTATTACACTCCATCACCAAAAATGCAGTTAAATCTGATATAGATGATAAATTCCAAGCTAAATTGATTAAACTAATTAACAAAAATATAATAAATTTGAATATCTCATATGATTTATCAACTTCAGAATTAAATGATTCAATGTCAACAATACTATTAAAGAGAAATTATATTTTGTGTTTGAAAAATTTACTCATCTTATCATGTCAAACTAATTATGAAGCTTTATTGGAGTTATCTACTTCTTCAACTTCTGCAGGTTCAAAATTAAAACCTGATACTATAATGTTACAGCAACATCAATTTCAAATGAATCTATTATTGTCAAATGAAAAATTAATTCATTATGGTTTGTCTAATTACTCAAAAGAAATTAGAGTGGCTACAGTTGAGTTATATTCGTATTTATTAATGAATTTTATATCAACTGGTAAATTTGACCCAATCGATTATTTGATAAATCAATTCAATTTCCCAGATTTGAATAATTGGGATCAATCTTTAAGTGCTACAATTGATCCAGAAACTGAAGCAGTCAATATCGAAATCAAAAAGGACAAAAACTTAATTAACTCTCATGATAGTGAAAGTATTATTCATCAAAATACTGAAAATTTATTATTTCAAACAAGTATTATAAAAACTTTAATAATTTATATCCAATTACAACAATTTCAATATTCTGATTTTTTATCGGTTAACTTGATTAATATCTTAGATTTAATCTTATTCAAATTTAGTGAATTAAACAATTTGCCAAATCATTTCCAAAATCAATATTGGAACAAAGTGTTAAGACAATGGGTTTTATTAGTGGACTATCTAATTAAAGAATGTGGTTCTTCGTGTCATGAAACATTATCCGAATATATTTACTTAAAATTCTCTAAAAATTCATCTTCCTTAGTTCAAAATGATAATGAACCCTCTGGTAAAGTAACTAAAGATAGAAAACGTGATTCAAGTGTATTTGGATTGAAAACTAATAAATCTAGTTCAAAATCGTCTAGAAATAAAAATAATAATAAATCTATCTCACCTTTATTCAATCCTTATCAAGCTGCTTTAATGCTACATATTATTGAATTGCTTTTACCATTTGGTACTTCTTTTAATCATACTTCTAAAAATGATGATGATGAATTGGCAATTGATGAAGCAGAATCAACAATGGTTGATGAAGAAGAAAATCAAAGACGTGAAGAAAAACCATTCTTGTCTGATTTATTATTGAAATTAATAATAAATAGAAGTGATTATATCAGAGGTTATGCTTTAAACACTTTATTAAAATATGCTTTGAATAATGAAGTTGAGATCAACCAAATCATTTTAAAAGTTTATAACATCGTCAATCATGAATTTGCCTCGCTAGGCTCAGATGAAGTGAACTCAGATGATTCTACTTCTTCATTTGCTTCTGTGAAAATCATGAATAATTCTTTGGCACTTTCTTGCTTGATCAAACAAACTGATTCTAAACTATTACAAAACTCCACCATAATGAAAATTTTAAGTTTCTGCACTCAAAATTTGAAGCATAATAATACTAATAATCAATCAAATTATTTGAAAAACTCTGCTTGTTGGATCGTATTATCGTCTTTGGTAACATTTTATAATGAATCAGAGTACATTAGATTGAATTCCTCGCAATTCTTAGTTTTTTGGAAAAATTTATTGACTTCCCAATTTATCAGTTCGTCAGTTGAATCAACCACTCAAGAGGGTCAAAGAAAGTCTATTTTCGAAAATTTGAAATTACGTAATTCAAGTTTGGTGTGTTTATTCAATTACTTGAATTCTATCGAATTATCCCCTGAATCTTTGAAACAAGTTCAATTTTTGTTGACTAAAGCTTATAATTACCTAACTTATTTAGAAAATAACATTGAAGGTGTTGGTTCTTTGACAAGTTTTAATGATGAAAATTTCAATAAAAATGATTTTAACCCTAACATGACAAATAACTTGATCTATACAAATTACACAGGTAATAAAAAGCTATCTTTCGATCGCATGATTACTAGTTTGATTTTATATGGGAAAAAAATTATTTTACAAAGTTTTACAAAATTATCAACATTATTAAAGCTGGATGCAAATTCTCATATGGTTATATTTCTTTTGAAAGTTTTCAGTGAATCAAAGATTTTCTCTAGAATTGGTGACAAACCAAAGGACCAATCAAAAAATAAAGCTTTAACAACAAGGGTCAGTGATTTTGATTCAACTGTACCACTTTTGGGTGAAGAGTATAACTATTCGTTTGGGGTAACCAGTAAATTCCATGTGTCCACAGCTAATATTGATGAACTATTAATTAAACTTGATATTGATAGCCGAATTGAACTGGGACTTTATTATAAGGATTCTTTCACGACAGATAGGATCAATTATCCGAAAAGTTCCATCGAAAAAGAATCTGAAGTGAATTATAATTGTTGGTTCGATATACTAGAATCAATTGTTTTCGAGTCTGTGGATCATAATATCAATTATGATTTGAATGTCTTTTTGATAAAACCTTACTCATTATTTTATCGTGAGTCAACTAACTTGTTGACGTCTTTGGTGGATTTGTCGATTGAACTTTTCCAATTAGTCTTTCCTCAATTAAGTTTGAAAATTCAATCATCTTTGCTCGAACAAATGAGGAACTCGTTAACTTCCAAAACTATTGATCCTTTAAGATACAAGGCTATTTCCATCAACATTTCCGTTGCCCTTCATGGCTTGTTGAATAATGCAACCAGAAAAAGGATTCAATTAGATAAAGATCTCGTGAGTACTGTTTTAGATATTATTGACAAAATTCACGGCAATCATAAACAATTGGTTTTGATTAACTCTGACACTATTGGTATGGCATTGTCCATGATTTCCAAGGCTTCCATCAGTGATCATATTTCTAAGCACATTAAGGAAATTGTGAATGATATTGATCCATACAAAAGAGGTAAGTCTATTTTAATCCTATCCAAAATATATGAACATGCACACGTTGGATTCAATGACATTTATAATGTTATCTCGCAACTTTTGAATGATCCAAATCCTATTGTTTATCATTATTCATTGAACGCAGCTAGCGTTTTACTTGAAAATAACTTAACAAATCATCAATTTATTGGTGACTTGATTGACACATTACATTCCAATTTTTTGAATGATCATTTTAGTTACAGTATCAAAAACAGAATATTGGTGAACTTGAATGTGAAATTTGGAACAATTGGTTTGACTACTAAATTGTTAAAGCTATCCATCACTGCCTTGGGACCTAATTTGCGCGATCGCTCTACATCGAGCCGTTCTAAAATTAAAAATCTAATTATTGCCTTGAGTTCTGGTATTGGTTGTTTGACAGTAGATGATTATCTTGAAACATTTGGCCAATTACTAGGTTTATTACAAGAATTAGTTATATTTGATCCGACTTTGATTGAAGGAGAAGTTGAATTTTTCACTGATTTGCTTAACCTTATCATAACGAAAAATATCAAGATTGGTTTGGTTGTCACAAGTCCAACCTCAATCAATAAGGATGCTATTTTTTCTTTCAACAGCAGCTTTGAATTATACAGATCAGCATATGACTGTTATACTGAACTTATCAAAGTTTTTGGGGTTCAAGTCTTGAATAAGGATACTGTTAGGTTGTTATGGATTTCAATGAATTTGAGGCCCTGTGATTCATTAAAAAAGTTGATAAAGTTGTGGTTAGAATCAAGTTTAGACATGAACTGGTTTGTTCAATTGAATAATTTATATAAAGTTTCCTCGAAGAAACTCATTGGACCATTCATTGAAAATAATTATCAACAAAAGTTATTACCTTTGCAACAAAGACAAAAGAAAAAATCACGTAATCAAATAGATTTTAAAGATGAAGAAGTCGAGAGTATTGTCGCTGAAGATGAAGATTTGTCTGATAAGAATGAGCCAATTACATGGGAATTTAAATTGTTCATATACGATTTGCTTAACATTTTACTTAATGCAGCCCATAGAAATCCAAAATTACTTGATCAGTTGAAACCAAAGATTCAAGAAATAGTCAAAATTTCATTTTTAGGATCCACTTCATCAATTCCAATTATAAAGTTGAGAGGTGCAAATCTTTTAGATACCGCTTTAGGTCTTTTCGGACAATTGGCAGATCCGTTATATCCTGGAGTTTCGATTTTAGAACAACAGCAAGCACAGATCATTAGTGCATTAATTCCATGCTTCAGTCCGGATAGTGATGCAAAAGTTATTGTTAATGCCATTAATGTTGGATCGAAATTTATTAATTTACCAAGAATCAAATTTTATTCGAAGCAGAGAATTTTGAAAACTTTAATTTATTTATTAGAAGAAATCTCATCTAATAAATTCCTCAAGTTTGGTTTTTTGGAGCATATGTCTGAATTCAGTAAAAAATCTATTCAATTATCGATTCTTAATTGTTGGGCGTTGTTGAAAATAGACTCCGAAGAAGATGAATCGACCGAACCAGAGTTGAAAGAAACTTTAGAGAAATATTCAACACTTTTAACCTCTTTATGGATATTGGTATTAAGGGAGCTTTCGTCGTTGAAATATAATGAAAATTCAACGAGAGAATTAGAACTATACGATGATTATTGGATTAACTTTGTTAGTGTATTGAGTTTACAACTAGAAAAGGATGATGAATTCATCAAAACTTATTTGGCAGAGGATGAAAGTAATTTCTTTTTCATTTTGTTTAGTCAATGTGTTGAATCTTTAATTAAGAACAAAAATGTTGAAGAGATTTTAATCTCATTGAATAGACTAGTTCAAAATTCCGAATTGGTTGAGATACTATTCCATGATGAAATATTTGGGGAGATAATTGATTTGTTTGATAGATTGATATTGATTGATGAAAACACTGAAGTCAAATGTAATGTATTAGAAATAATCAGTACTATATTCCATACATTCTTGAATAACCAAAATGGTGAAGACTTAACTAAATCATTTGATAAGTTATTTGAGTTAATTAGAGTTACCATGTCACCTTTGTTTAGTATATTACCATTTTTAAGAACTGATTTTGATCCAACCAGTGAAACTCAACAATTTTCTTTGAAATATTGTGATAGTGGACCAAATTTATTAATCTTGAAGAAAGTATTTTCAAAATTAGTTGATATGATTAATAAATTTCCAAATGTTGTTAAAGTTGATTTATATTCGTGTGTTTTATTTATTTTTGCCAAATTTTATGAATATAATAATGAATTGTTGAATTCTATTTTACTCCCACATTTAAAGCAAATTATTCTTGAATCTAAAAAATTTAATCTCGGGTTGGTAGATAAATTTTATAACATCATTCAAAAGTATTATAAAATCAGTCCAGCAAATAATTTTTCCGTCTTGACGTCTTTGATTCTAATCACCAGTGGTGACATTCGCTTAAACGAAGAAGATTCGGAACAATTAAGCTGTTCTTTAATTGAAATGTTAGAGAGCCCAGAACTAGCACCAAGGGGTATCCAATGCATCAAATCATTGATTCAATACTCTTCTCTACAATCAGATGATATCTTAGTTGTTAAAAAATTGATCAAAGAAATCATCAAGTCCTTAGTTGCTAACAAGAACGAACACAAGATTGATATCAAAGTCTCTTTTGAAATACTTTTCATGTTTAGCAAATTAGAGAATCATGATGAATCAAAATCAACTTTACTTTTCTCAATCTTGATCCCCCTCCTACTTTCTTACAACAAGGCCGAGAACGGAAACGATCCTGCCTTGGATAAAGCTTACTTGAATGAAAAATTGTTGAATTTAATAAACCAAAATCCAGCAGCTTTCAAAACCGTTTTAAACTCCGCCTTATCAGATGAACAAAAACAACTTACTGAACAATTAGTGAAGTTTAATCCAAACACCGTTGAGACTCCGGATGTTGTTGAAGGACAGTCCGAGATTCAGCTTAAAACTTTCGGGGTTTGAGCCGACCATTTTCTTTCCTTATTACGACCTTAAACGTATCCTATAATGAACACGGCACTGTGAAGCTTCATTAAGATCTCTATTTTTCTTAGTTCCTGTTTAAATTAGTATAATTTCATTTAGTGTAATGCTCGTAAGTGACTCCTTTCCCGGATTTCGACCGTTGTCTAATAATACTTTGAAGCAAGAATTTAAGGACTTGAATTCCAACGCCGTGTCGGTATTGCTGACAAGCGAACGAAGCTAGTAAGAACTAACATCCCAAGTAATGTTAGATCGAAAAGATAGTTATTGTAGTACACGCAATTTTTTGTTCTCAGACTTTCTGTTTTTTCTCAAATCTCTTTATAAATATGAAGGTTTGAGTTGAAGATCTCAACAAGGTATTGAATATTTGCTCAACTAGTGAAGGCTGTTACCATGTTGTTGCTTAATGTGCTATTTTGGTGTTCTTTGGTGGCTGGTGTTTTTGCTAAAACCCATGAATACCATTTTGAGGCTACTTATGTAAATGCTTCTCCAGATGGGATCAAAGAAAGAAGGGTTGTTGGTATTAACAATGAATGGCCAATACCGACCATTAGGGTGACTAAAGGTGATCGGGTTGTTATCCATTATACTAATGGATTACAAGATAGAAACAGCTCGTTACATTTCCATGGGTTGTTTCAACATCATACCAATTCAATGGATGGACCAGAATACGTTACTCAATGCCCTATTGCACCAGGTCAAGGATTCCTTTATAATTTCACGGTAGAGGATCAAGCAGGAACTTATTGGTACCACTCACATTCAGGAACTCAATATGGAGATGGGTTAAGAGGGTTATTTATCATTGAAGAAAAGGAAAAATCCGATTACCCATTTGAATTTGATGAAGAAGTATCGCTTTCTGTTAGTGATTGGTACCATTCAGAAGGGCCTGAACTTATGAAAAAGTTCTTAAGTAGATATAATCCAACTGGAGCTGAACCAGTACCTCAAAACTCCTTGTTTAACGATACTAGAAATGTTACCTGGGACGTTAAACCAGACACTACTTATTTCGTTAGAGTTGTGAATATGGGTTTGTTTGTTTCTCAATACTTGAAGCTTGAGGGTCACACGTTTACTATAGTTGAAGTTGATGGTGTTTACGTTGAGCCACAAGAAACTGATTCTCTTTACTTGAGTGTTGCACAAAGAGTTGGTATTTTACTTCATACTAAATCTACTGCTAATGAAAACTATAGGTTTTTAAACATTCTTGATGAGGATATGTTGGATCTTTTGCCTGAAGATTTACAATTGGTCTCTACTAATTGGGTAAGATATAATGATTATAAACCATTACCAGAAGTATTCCCAATTGGATACCACCATTATGAAAAATTAATTGAAAGCTTAAAACCTTTTGATGATTTCAAATTAAATCCATTTGATAAAGAAGAAGCATTACCTGAACCAGACCATAAAGTTGAATTAAATTTCGTCATGGATAACTTGGGTGATGGTGTTAATTATGCATTTTTCAATGATATTAGTTATGTTGCACCAAAAGTTCCAACTTTGTTAACTGTATTATCAAGTGGAGATTTAGCAACTAATGAAAGAATATATGGTTCTAATACTAACTCTTTTGTTTTACAACATAACGATATTATCGAAATTGTTCTTAATAACATGGATGATGGTAAACATCCGTTCCATTTGCATGGACATACTTTCCAAGTTCTTTTCAGATCTGAAGGTGATGATGACGAACCTGAGGTTTATGATCCAGAAAATCCTGATCATAATAAATTTGCTAAACATCCTGTAGTTAGAGATACTGTTATGGTCAATCCAAATGGATTTATCGTTTTAAGATTCAAAGCTAATAATCCAGGGGTTTGGTTATTCCATTGTCATGTTGATTGGCATTTGGAACAAGGTCTTTCCGTCACCTTTATTGAAGCTCCTTTAGAAATTCAAAATTCAGAATTACCTTTACCTAAAAGTCATTTTGACGCTTGTGAAGCTTTAAATATGTCCTCAAAAGGTAATGCTGCTGGTAATTATGGGGAACTGCATCAAGAGTGGTTGGATTTGACCGGTGAACCTCTTCAATATCCTCCATTACCCGAAGGGTTCACTGCTAAAGGTTATTTAGCATTGTTCATGTGTATTGTTGCAGCTCTTTATGGTGTTCTTTCCATCTACAAGTACGGTATGGAAGATGTTAACAGCGAAGAAAACGAAGCTCTTCTTCAGAAATTGTACACCATTCTTAAGGACAACGACGCATTAGATGAAAACGAAGAATCAACCATGTTCACCTTGAATAGTAATGGTGAACGTGTTGAACGTTAATAGCTTTTATCTTTATCATTATTACGATTGCAAATATTGAAAGAAAAAGAACAAAAAAAGCAAAATATACAGAAAAAAATCACAGAAAAGAAGCATAAGTAGTTACTCTTAATACTCACGACGTCTTAGATGAAAACCTAATCAATAAATAGTCATTGTCTTCTTGACCCTAATGTAATTTATCAAGTTGAAATCTTTCAGTAGTAGCAAAATTGAAATTTTTGCACGTCTTTTTATCAGCCAGCCGAACAAAAAAAGGGTGAGCTCCAAAAGAAGATAACCAAATAGTAGTTACATTACAACTAATTGAAGATGTCACAGTTATTTGAATGGGCATTTGGTAAGAAGCTTACGCCTCAAGAAAGGCTTCGAAAGAACCAAAGGGCACTCGAGAAGACCCAGCGAGAGTTGACTAGAGAAACCACCAAATTACAAAGTCAAGAGAAGAAATTGATAAGTGAAATCAAAAAATCAGCCAAACTGGGGCAAATAGCTAGTGCTAAGATACAAGCGAAGGATTTGATTCGAACGAAGAACTATATTGTTAAGTTCAATTCGATGAAGGCACAATTACAAGCAATTCTGTTAAGAATACAGTCTGTTCGTAGTAATCAACAAATGGCTACTTCAATGAGAGATGCTACTAGGTTATTATCAGGAATGAATCGAACGATGAATTTACCTCAATTATCGAGGATCACTCAGGAGTTTGCTAAGGAAAATGATTTGATGGATCAAAAACAAGATTTCATGGATGATGCTATAGATGATGCTATGGCCATGGATGACGAAGATGAATTAGGAGAAGATGAACAAGTTGATGAAATATTGGGTAAAGTTTTAGATGAAATTGGAGTTGATTTGAATTCTAATTTGAAAGATACTCCAACCCTGATCAATGTTAATAATGAATCCTCAATTAATAATGGTAAAGTGGCCCAAGCACTAGGAGGAGATGGTGGTGCTAATAATGATGAAGATGATTTACAAGCAAGATTAGATAGTCTTAAGAAGTAATAATAAATAAAGATACATTCTATTTCAAATTATAGATACACGAATTGAATAGATTCAATTAAGAAATGTAATTATGTTTGATCAAATAATCAATAATTTGTTCAGCACTTTCTTCAATTGAGGCACCGTGATAATTTTTCAAATGAATTTCTGGATTTTCTGGAGCTTCATAAGGAGCACTAATACCAGTGAATTCTTTAATAATACCTTCTCTTGCCTTTTTGTATAAACCTTTTGGATCTCTTTGTTCGGCAACTTCAACTGGAACGTCAACATAAACTTCAACAAATGGTAAATTATCCTTTTCATGTAATTCCCTGGCTAATTTTCTATCTTGTTTATAAGGACTAATGAAAGAAGTTAAAGTAATACAACATGAATCAGTAAATAATTTAGCAACTTCGGAAATTCTTCTAATATTTTCATTTCTATCCGATTCACTGAATCCCAAATCTTTATTCAATCCAAATCTCACATTATCACCATCTAATCTATAAGAATTCAATCCTCTAGCTAAAATACTTTGTTCTAATGCACAAGCAATAGTTGATTTCCCACTAGCTGATAATCCAGTCAACCAAACAGTACATCCTTTTTGTTTTCTCAATTCAATACGTTCATTATGAGACAAGTTTGGGTGCCAGGTGATATTAGTAGCCATTTTCTATATATAAATATTAATAATTAAGTAATTGGAATCCTTTAACTTAAAATTTTTCAACCAACTTCCTTATAAGATCAAAGTTGGCAACCGATATATGGCAAAATTGCACGTGATGGGTAGTGCGATCGCACACAATTATTTTGCAACTTGTCTAACTATCTACTACTAGGTCGACGATTCTGTTGATTAGACGGGAAAATTTAGTCTGGTTTGGGTAGATATGGGCCCTTGCTTATAGGACACTGTCAGTTGTATAATTGCGTCTGTTGACAGAATTATAGGAGAGTTCAATCAGAGATTCAAGACAGAAAGGCTTACACGAACAGGCTCTTCACAGAAACAACAAGGTATCTGCAGAAGACCATATATCTCCTTTACTAGTGTTTGGCTTTCCAATTAAAGAAGAATCTGAGTTCCTACTGGAACCGTCACTTCGAATCCTTGCATTTATTCAGGGCATTCGGGTTCCGTGGCTCACCCTACTCCCTCGTTGAATCTCATCAAAACAAAAGACGGCAGAATACAAAGCCAAGGTCTTGGAGAATGTTTAGATATACGAAAATACCTAAAACCTCCATGAATAGGTATAAGTTGATTAAACCCCCGGAATTGTTTGTCACGTGATATAAATTTTCGGATTTCATTTTTTTTTCATTGATTACATAATCAATGAAAAAGTTTAGAAGAAAAAAATTTATGAAGAAGTGAAAAATCGATTAAAGGACCTCGAATCATTAACCAAGCAAGATGTATTACGAGTTGTTTGCTATATCGCGTATTACCGATCCCTTAAGAAGTAATAGAGAAGTGAAAAACATTGCCACCACTGTTGGTAGATTAATACTAAATAATAGAGGGGTTATAAGGGAAATCACCAATTTAGGACCACGTCCATTACCAAAAATCATGAGTAAAGAACAAGAAAGACATTTCCAAGGTTATCATTTCTTAATGGGATTTGATGCCAGTGCCACAGTTCAACATGAGCTATTAAGAACAATTAGAAAAGATCCAAGAATCTTAAGAGCATCAATAATTAAGAATGAAATGGGTAAAAAAATCAATATTCCAAACTCTATTGAAAGAGCCCTTGCTGGTGGTAAATAAATAGTATTTTAAAAGATGAAAATTGTATATAGTTAATTTTTTACTTCTCTGCATGTTTAATATAACGTTTTAACGAATTAATTATTGTAAAATTATCTATATATATAGAAATATATAAATGCGAGAATATTAAGATTAAATGAGGACATAAGAGATGGAAAACTAAGATAATAAAATAAAAAAAAACTGAAAATCCGATAGAAATTAAAAGTATAGACAAATTAAGATTTCATTAAGTATTAAGGAATAAGAATAGAACCATAAGAAAAAAAGCCAATTTTTTCTTCTTTTTCAACGTAAATAAAAAGGTATAGGAAAAGTAAACTCAAAAGGTAGGGAAATGAATAACATGGTTAATTTTAACCAACCATGAATTAGTTAAAGTTATCGATTTTTGTTAGTATTTTTTTTATTATTATTATTATTGTTATTTTTAGATCCCATACTATTTATAATCATATTTGTTTGAGCAGTTTGATTTTCTAAATCATCTAAAGAAGTTGAAGAAGCGGTTGAGCTAATCTGATTGTTTTCTTCATCATGATCATGATCATTTTCAAACATTGAATTAGTAGTACTATTATCAGTTTCAGTTTCTTCATTATTTTGATGATCAACTTCATCAACTTCTTGAATATCATTGTTAGCTAAAGATAAACTTAAAGAAGAAGTAGATTTAGCACTACTTCTATAAATTGAAGGATCCAACGAATTATTATCTTGAATACCTAAAGAATTCGAAGAATTATTTATATTTGAACGAGAAGCTTGTCTTGATCTTGAAATACCATTATAAGGGGAATCATCCTGCGAAGGAGGAGGATTATAGTTAGTTAATGGGAAACTTGATAAATTTTCTAAATCATTACTAATAACATTAATTGAAGTATAAGAATTTAAGGGATCTGATTTCCAAATATCGATATTATGAACCATTGTATAAGACCAACGACAAAATTTATTATGATCAATAATTGGTAAATGTCTATACTTAGTATAACTGAAAACCACATAAGATAAAACTGCACCCCCAATTAAATCAATAAAATAATGATGAGTTAAATACATAGTACTCCACCATAACCAAGTTGCATAACTCCACCAAACAAATTTATATTTTGGGAATAACCAACATAAAAACAAAACATCCATAACTGCACAACCTGAATGTAAAGAAGGGAAAGCACCAAAAACCACTGGAGAATTCGAAAAAGCAGTAGTATACATATCGACTCCTAATAAAGCATCAATTCTACCTAAACCACCAGGACTACCACTCATTGAATAATCAGCTGGTTCTAAGCCATGTAAATTTTTATACCAAGGAGGAGCCGCAGGGAATAAGATTTGAGTTAATAACCCAGTTAAATTCATATAACCAAAGGCAAAACCAAAAGATCTCAAAGCCGTTGGAGGACTAAAAATAAAGATAAAAGCAGCCACAAAAAATGGAGAACTAAAATGAATAATACCGTACGGTAACCAAGCTAAAATATCTAAAAACGAAGTATTAGTTTCAGCTAAAACATTTGATAAATTATCCCCATAAAGAATAGTTTCCATTGCTGGTAAAAATTTAACACTAATAGCAGGTTTCCAAGTATTTGGAATTTTCCCGGCACTAAAGAAAAGGGCTAACCAAGTGAAAATAGGTAAAGCATGAACGAAAAATTGAGAAGTTAATGGAATTAAAAAACAGGATATGAAAACACTCAAAATGAAAAATTTAATAAGGAAAGGTGCTGGGAAGATTAAAAATACAAAGAAAATAATTGAACTTAAAAAGGAGTAATGGATTATCTCTAAAACTGACCAATTTCTATTTTTGAATTTGTTGATTGATATCTTAATATCAGTTTCAAAAGATAAATCACTTAGGGTTGAACCATATTGTTTTTCCAGAAGAAAATAGTAATGAAATAGCTGATACGGTTTTTGGACCAAACGAGATCTAAGAATGGTTGAAGAAACCATAGCGTCAAAACAAAACAACAAGGGAAAACGAAATCAATAGAGAAAACAGAAAAAACACAAGGTAGGAAACGAGTAAACGATTGATTCCAAGTATACGATTAATGCAAGAATGACCCCTTCTCAATACAATAACTCAAAGACTCTCAAGTAAAAGATAAGCAACTAATTTGGGCAAAACAAGGTCCTGGAGGATATCCTGGGATGGGATGAGCTGGGCGGGTGCTAATGCTATTGGAAAAAAAGTATCCTGCCGGGCCGGATCTAGTCTGGTGGGTACGCAGTATCACTAGTATGCTGTTGAAGATGCTAAGTACAAGTAACGGGATGTCGGAGTAACTAGTTGTGAAGGAAAGTAGTTGTTTTATAAAAAAGAATGGATTAATTTATTTGTTTTAACCGCTCGTTCTATTTTTTTTTCTTTTTTTTCTTTTTGGTAAGCCGGTCGTGTCGGGATCAGACTTTTGTATTGAAGGATAACTGGTTTATTAAGGTGTGGGAATAGTCAGTGGAGGGAATGGTTGGTGTAGTGACTAGTCGGTGACGGTGGTGAGAGTGGTGTGGTGAAAGAGTGACGGACGAAGAAGGAAGTAAAAAGGAGGGACGACGGACGGAAGAGTAGGTACGGACGAAGTATTATTCGTTTTGCAACCTTGAAAGACATAAATAGTGCTACAATAGTAGTTGTATATATAGTATATAATGGTATATGAGGAGAATATTTAATAGATGTTAGATTGAACCTTGATATCACCACCTAAGCTAATGGTTTGGGAACCAGACCATTTTTCACCATTTTTCAAAGTGACAAAATCAGATACATGGCCCGGTTCAATACAAAGCATGTTCAAATAGCCATTTTTAGGTTCGAAATCCGCCATGCCATTGGACTTCTCAATCCATGGGTTCCAAACAACACTGTCGGGTAAGTTTTCTCTTTGCACATTGATCAAGACTTTACCTAATTCGACCACCTGGAAGATTTTATCGGTATCGATTTTTTTATAGATACGGTCGAATTCTTCATTAAAGCAAACCATGGGGGATTTTTCAATGTACTCAGTGGCCAATAATTGATCATAACATTTCTGGTCAATTAAATTAGTGACTAAACAGTCGGTGACATCAGGTACTTTCAAATAAGTATGGAATAACCAATTGAAATCAAAGGCTTCGTCCCCGTTATTTTCAACTTCAATGTTTGTTTTCAAATGGTCGTCACCCAATTCAATACTCAAGATTAAAGTGAAGTTATTTTTACCTTCATTCCATAAATTGTAAATTTCCTTATTAGCGTTCTCTGGTCCTAATCCAAATTGAACCGTTAATGGATTTTCACTAGTTTGTCCTAAGAACTCCCAGGTTGAGTTTCTAGCAAATCCGTGTTGGGGTAATTTATAAGTTGGATGTTCTTCATTCTTCTGTTTCCCGAAAATTGGGAATACTAATGGAATACCACCTCTAACGGGTTTAGATCCATCTAATTTTGCTGCTTCTGATAACCATAATTGCTCTTTACCCTTATTTTCCCATGAAATCACGGTGGCACCATACTTCAAAATGCTGACTTTGGTGGTTGGTTCTCTAGGATGGGTCAAGATCACTTTATCTTCAGTTTCTTCAATTGACATGGTTGGTTAAACGTGGTATTAATCGAAGTTGATTGTTTTGTTGGTTGTTTGAAATTTTGACTACGCTCATATAGAGAGGGGGTAGTGTCCCCGGTTACAAAAATGTTTTTGATATAAAACGTAAATTCATGAATAGTGTCTATAGATGCAAAAAAAAAATTCAATGAAATCTATTCTTAAATTTTTGGAATTTATTTAAAGATTTTTGGGAGGATGATATGGTTGGCTTATCGTATAAGGAGCCCAACAGTTTTTGTGAGGAGGAAACCGTTGGTTTATCGTATAATGAAAATGGTTTTGGAACGGTATAATTTTTATTAGAACCAATTGAAGAAGCCGAAGACGAAGGAGACATTGAAGGAGGTCTATTAGGAGTTTGAATTGAAGATTGATCGTAATCCAAATGAGATTCTTTTTTGGAAAGTTTTGGAATTGAAGATTTTTTAGTTAATGAATTTTGTAAGTCATGGTGAGAAGTTCTTCTATTTAAGGTTGGAATTGAAGAATTTTGTCTTAAATCGTTAATTGAGGTTTTTTTGTTTAAATCATTAATTGAAGTTTTCTTATTCAATTTTGGAATTGATGATTTTTTAGTTAAATTTGGAGTAGTGCCTAATTTTGGAGTTGATTGATTTGAAGTATTGGGAGATCTAACTCCGGCCATTTCCAACGAAGATTGTCTTAATTTATTTGGTAATGCTGGTTTTAAAAACTCTCTTTGAGATATTCTTTGAGAGTTTTGTATTCTTGATGGGGATTTTAAATGTTTATTTTCTTTATCAATCAGTTTTAAATCAATTTCATCGTTTAGCAATCCATTTAAATTCATTGATCCTTTTGAAGGACTTATCCCTTTGGAAGGACTTATTCCCTTTGCTTCATTACTTGGGGATCTATTGGGCGATCTATTGGGTGACTTGTTCGGTGACTTAGAATCAGAATCTTCTAGTTTAATTGGTGACATTTTCATTAATTGAGACATTGGTTTATTTGGAGATTTTTCTTGTTGTTGTTGTTGTTGTTGTTGTTGTAAATGGAAATTTATTACTTCTTCCGGACCATTGAAAGTTCTTCTTCTTTTGTTAATGCTAGATATATCAATTGTTGAATTTCTTTTACCTTCATCATTAGAAGAATCATCAACATCCATAATATTTTCATTTCTTATCATTTCAAATTGATTTAAATTCTTATCAGGAGATTTTTGATTTGTCATTTGTAAATTTTGTTGAGCTTGAAACAGCATTTGTAAAGAAGTTTGGGGTTGATCATTTGAATTAAAAATATTCAGTATATCTTCTTGAGTAGAAGGTCTTGATCTTGATGCAGCATAATGATTTGATATTGAATCCATTTTATTAAAATTCATTCTATGGATACCAGAATATCTTTTCCTACTTAATGCTCTTCTCATATTATTATTATTTGACGAAGCTGGTGGTGGTGATTTAATTTTAGCAGAAATTTCATTTGCTCTTAGATTTAATTCGTTCAAAACTTTATTCGATATTGTTTGCAGGTATCCTTTGTTGGTCATTTGAGTGAAAATATCATTACTATGAGAGGGAGCAGTCGACGGTCTTTCTTTGGAGTATAATGAATCAATTTTAGGAACTGGTTGACTAACTGATCTAGGAGGACTTTCTAAAGAAAGTTCTTTGATTCTTTGGATTGGAGTCGATAAATCTATTTTATACCCATCGCTTATTGATCTTTGAGATATTTTGAAATCATCCTGCTGGTTATTACCTTCATTTATGCTATCAAGATTCATATTTTGTCGGTTTTGTATGTTTTTGATTTCTCTCTTGATGTTTAACCTTTTTATTTGAAAATCAATTAATATATATGCATATAAGGGTTTTCTCTAATGTTTTGAATTTGGATATATCAAGGGAGAACCTCCGGTAAACACACACAGAGGTTGTAAAGTAAATTATATAACAACTATTCAATCGGTTGAAATGGTGATTCGAGCAAGGGTAACTGTTGATTCTTTCCTTGTTCACTTAATGGGTTCTCTCTGTTGTCCCGTTTTGCAGATTAGTCTGGTTAACAGTCTGGTTTAGTCTGGAGAATAGTCCAGTTAATAGTCCTTTGTTGATTGTTGAAGAGATTAGTTGATTATGACTTGTTGTTTGTTATGATGTTTTTTTTTTTTTTTTTTTCGCTTTTTTTTTTTTGTTTTGTTAGTGAATTCTTTTTTTTTCTTGTTTTCATTTAATTCTTTTTGGGAATCCTGGATTAAAGATAAAGATCACCTTACTATACACAATTAGGCTAGACAATTGTAATTAAAGTGTAATGTATTTACTTCTTGCATGAAAATGTAACATTCTCCATTTGTATATCCAAATGGTTTGGTGATTTTCCGGGAAAATGCCATTTTTTTCGACAAAATACCATTTTTCGAAAAATGGGTTTTTTTGTTAGCCAACCCAACTTGTAAGTTCCCCATACACAATGATATTTTCTTTTGATCATGCTAGTGCCAATTTTATTGATTTAAATGGTTATTTGGAGAAAATTGTTTTTTCATACAGTTCAAACACAGAGCGAAACACCCACTCGTACAACAAACCAGGCTATTTTTCGGTTGTAAATCACGGCCTGCGTAGCGTAATGGTTAACGCGTTTGACTTCTAATCAAAAGATTGCGGGTTCGACTCCCGCCGTGGGTTTTCTTTTTTGCCCTTGTCGGGGTTACTTTTTGTTTTTGCTCTTGGTCATCAACTGAAGTAATACCTACATCGGTTAACATCCATCCTTTGGACCTGCTAACGGTGCTGCGACTCATCGGAAAACAACGAGTCCGTGAATGGCTGAATCACACGGGCTTTAGCCCGTGTGTACTCTAGTCTACTGTGTTGGTATACGTATAAGCACTGGATTCGTATACGTACTGGTGCTGGATTAGTTCCCTGGAGGTATCCAATGCTTTGATAAGTGAAGTATTTTATCGTCTGACGTCGCTTATGATTACCCTCTGGCAAAGGAGGGGAATAAGGAAGCTTGCCGGATAGAAGGATCTCATCAGTCACAAAGCAAAAAATCAAACTGATAAAGGTACTCCGTGCTCCGAAAACCAACGGTATGAGGAGAACATCTCCACCATCTACTCAACATCACCATCTCCAACACCGTCCATCTTGGACCACCGGCCACCATCTCCTCAGCACAAGAGATACAATGGGTAGACAAGACGTGGATAATACGCCCAAGAGATACAAGACGTACAACCCTCAACAAGATCAGTCGTTTGGGAGGTGGTTCCGGTTCTGTCCGGCGGACTAAACTAACACCACTGCTGCAACCACTCAGCACCGTTTGGTGGGTTTTCGGATAATTGTGGGCCCTCACCCTTGTTACCGGGACAGCAGTGCGACTCATCTGACTGCAAATTGGCGGATTGTTTCCGAGGTTTTCCTCGAGGGGAATTGAGTCACCTTACCCAGCAGGCGATGGAGTTAAGTTCGGAGACGGACTAGCACCCATGCTAAAAGGATACCCCAGGAAATTGTTCCGTAATCAACCATTCCTCCAATCGTGAAGTAGCACACGAAAAAGGGCATTTTTTGCAATTAATATTTAAACCTTGTGGATCGCTTTTGGAAATTTAGTCCTAGGCTAGTAATAGTTAAAGATGTCTGATTTATTATCTTATAGTATTATGAATAATGGTGGGGAGAAATTAAAACCATTTAATTTATTACCTTTACCCTTACCCTTGCCATTACCTTTGAAAACAAATAATGATATAACGACCAACCACCCCATTATCTTACCACCCATTAATAAGTTAACCGAAAATAAGTTGACGGAAAATAACTTGAATAACCATAAAAACTACTCGTCGATATCCAGTATAACCCCGGCATCATCAGTTAATTCCATCAGTCCAGCATCCTCGGTAAGTTCACTAAGTCCAATTTCGTCACCCAATTTATCAAACGTTAAATTAAACGTTTGCACAAATAAAAAAAGAAGACAGAGATTGGGGCCATCATGTGACTCGTGTCGCTCAAGAAAAGTTAAATGCAATGCCGAAATTACGATTTTGTCTAATGATTTGAATAATATCCCCATACACTTATCCCTGGACCAAATCGATGGGCTTTTCAATTTGAAAAAACTGATTAAAGTAAATGATTTTAATCTTGTTATTTCAAATGATAAATTGATCAAGTTTAAAATATGCGAATCCTGTGAAAATAAACACTTGAATTGTTGTTTTTCAAAAGGTTTCACCAAAGAAGACATCTTGATGAATAATAAAAAAACCTCCGATTTGGTCATTAAGAAAAAATCAATTCCAATCGAAGGTAAAATTAAAAAAAAACCCATCAACATTTCTTACGATAACACTAGAAAATCTTCTTGTGGTTCTTGTAGAAAAAGAAAAGTAAAGTGTGTCTACAATGCTTCCATTCAAATGTGTGAAGGTTGTGCTAAAAAGGGTCATGATTGTTTATTTGACTCAAAGTAAATACATTTTTTGGTAACGTATGGCGGTGAACCGGTTCATCTATAGATTTTTAGTTCTTTACAATGTTTAATTCTTATTTGTTTAATTCTTAATTTTAATTTGTTATATCTTGTTTTCGGAGAAGTCAGGCTGTAGTAAGGATGCCTAATGCCCGAGGGCTCATCGGACCCGACTCCGAGGTGGCCTGGGTCCTCTTTTCGGTAGTTTTGCTCGGAGAATGAAGTCCACCATCGTTCCACTTCTATCCACTAATCCTTTAAACCAATCCTCTGAGCTGCCATTCCTCTAATCCTTCAAGCTGTTCCTCTGGTCATCTGGTGATCTGCTTAAGTCCGTCATGGGCTAACGGACTGGTCTTAGTGTCAAAAATGTCGTGGGAAACTGCAAGACGATACCGGCGACATTTTTTTTTTTTTTTTTTTTTTTTTTCTGTTTGTTTTTTTTTTTCTGTTTATCACGACATTTTGCTTACGACGTTTTTCATGACCACGACATTTTCCTTACGATTATCTATTAACCTTCTTTACTGCATTATGATACTTGTGTTCTTTCTAATACCCTTGATCCTCGCAGTGTCGTCGGTGCCGCTGCCCGCACCGTCAAGTATCATCGATGTCCTCTCGGCAGACGTACAGTACTCCTATTTTCTTCGTCATTTGCAAAAACTGGGTCTTGTTCCCTTGATTAACTCGCTTGAAAATATCACGGTTTTAGCACCAATCAACTCGGCTTACGCCTCCGATCGGCAGGACGAATCGCTCACAAAATACCTTATTAATCAACCCTTCAGTATAGGCGAGCTCGGGGTTAATGATATCGTCTTCAACACTCTATATAACAATTATCCAATCATAATATCCCCCGATTTTAAGTCGAAGGAGTATACCGTCGATTATGTGGCTTCTTTTATAGAGCTGGACATCTATGCAAAACACCAACATTCTTATATACATGCAATTGACCATTTACTCCCACCAAAACCCTCAATATGCGATTTTTTACTCAATGACGATTTGGGTTCAATCTCAATCTTTAAACAATTGATAATATCAGTTTTCCATAAATCCCATCATAAAAAATTATCGGTTCCTTCTTGTGATTCATTTTTCAATTCATCTAAAACATTATTAATTCCTACAAATGATTTCTTGTTTAATTCTTTACCAAATGATACCTTAAACTATTACTTAACCCTACATCGGGTTTTACAAAATGAAAAGTTCTCCCTTACTAAAGATGCAGAATATGACCTTAGAAATAGCTTGCTCAAATTTATCAAATTGCTTATGATCCCAGATTTGATCGCGGGGGTTAATGGTACTGATAATGAAACCCACCGCAATTTGAATGGTGATAAATTCAATTTCAACTGGCATAACAATTCCTTAACAGTTAATAATCACTTATCTACCAAGGAGTCATTTGTCTTGTCAAATGGTGCGGTTCATATTTTTGATAAACAAAACGGGGCCAATTTTTTCATTTCTTTGAAACTCCCAATCAAAAAATTATCCCCCAGAGATCTCTTATACTCTTTACACTACTCGAACTTCGTTAGAGAATTGAAGTTTAGAAAATTATTGCATTTGATTGACTCGCCGCATTCGAGTCAAACTGTCTTTTTAAATAAAAACCAAAGAGATGATATTATCAAAGATGAGCTTTTCGAATTGGCCTCGTTTAATCAAAAACAATCTTTGCTATACCAATTTGCTAATGAATCAATTGATATAAATGACTATTCTAATTCTTCTAGTGTTCATAAATTATTAAATTCCAAAATGTGCAGTTCGAAAAGAATCGGTTCTTGTTTTAAATTGAAATTCCTGGCTTCTACCTCTCGTAATTCTTCCACCATAACGATTAACGATGAAAATAAAATCGCTCATGGCCCTTTCAAATCAAATCAAACTTTCATCTATATTGTTGATTCAGAAATTGAAACTCCTTCGTCTTTTAAACATACTATGGGTCCTTTGATTTCAAGTGGGTTTTTCGAACATCATTTGGAACATATCAAAATCGATAAAGAGTCTTGTTTAACTACTTTGGGATATTTAAATAGATTCGGCCTCTTCCATCTCGATGATAATTATCATGGTTATTCTATTTTTTTACCGTGTGGAATAACTAATCCAAAGGAAGAAGGTGAATTAACAATAAATAAAGCCTCAAAAGGTTCTTGGAATTCTTTAGGTTTGATCTTGGATCATCTAGAATCGAATCCTCATTTGTTTAAAGATTTATTAAAAGGATTTTTCATTGAAGATCTCATTTACTCTGATTTTGGGCTCGATGATAATATCGATACTAAGATTATCACGAGAAATTTAAGAGGTGACCTAATCAATGTTTCTGAATCTTATTATAATGGTGAAATTAATCATAGAATTAAATTAAACTTAACCGAATTATCAATTCCTTTGAATTCAGATGTCTTATTCAATCAAGGTGTCGTCCATATAATAAATCGTGTTTTATTCCCAGAAAATTTTCATGTTTCCTTATATGACTTGATCCAAACTACAATTAAAGATTCAAAGTTTTCCTTTTTGAAATTACTCGAATTATATCCAAATTTATTGAAAAAACTCGGCTTACTTGGTAAAGATAAGGATAAATTCAATTCAAGTAAGTATTCTCTATTAATTCCAACTTCCGAATCTTTAAAAGACTTCAACATTACCTCCAACTTTGATAATTTATTGAACTTCTTACAGTTTCATCTCATCCCCAATAACCAATTAGATCCATTATTAGATTGCATTACATCCTCAAATACTAGTTCTCATTTTAAAACCAAAACTAACCTTACCGATACTCAACTTGTTTGTTCTTATGACAAATCAAACAATAAGTATTTCCTAAGACTAGATGACGATTCAAGTATGAATACCATGGGTTATAATAAAGATCATGAAGTTGTAATTCTATCCCATGGATGTACCTCTATTCATAGAAATAGAGAATCAGATTTATCATGCGTATTTTTAATCGATAAACCATTAAATTTGAGCTGGTTACAAAAAGATGACGGTTTTTTACACATCCATTTAGGTTTCATAAGCATTGGTATCGGTATCATCCTTGGATTGATCCTATTTGGTACCGTCATGTTATCAGTTATTGTTTGTTTGGGTGCTTCTAATAAATCAAAGAATTCAAATGGTATTCATACTGACTTTTCAAATACTCAAGGCCAAAGCTTCATGAGAGTCACTTCGGATGAAGAAGAACCAACATTTGACCATGGCTATGAAACAGACGATGATATGCTTAGAACAGAACGTGAACAATTATTACCAATCCATGGCAAAAAGAGAAAGAAGGGTCATTATGGGTCAATCAACCAAATCAATTCCTTAAGGGATAACAACGGTGCTATACCGACCAACTCTTTAGGCAATAAAAGTGCTCCTCGCACCATCAGAAGCAGTAACAACATACGTGCCTTGAATAGGGATTTCAACTTGCCTGGTGCTTAAATATTTATTCATATATACGGTGATTTTTAACAGCCATTGTAAACTAAATTGCGGGTAACCGATCTCTCTTTTTTTTTTTTTTTTTTTTTTAATGATAACTACATCAAAAAAGAAAAAAGAGAAACGCTTAAGATTTGTAAATAATTAATTTATCATCGTTAGTATTAGACTTGTAATCGAGGAAAGCATTAATTAAGACCAGGTATTATCCGTTTCGAAGCCAATTAGTCGAATTCACAAAAAAAGAAAGAAAAAACCTTGAAAAGAAGCAACTGAATATCCATAAACTACTTTTTCAGAAAAAAATGTCAGAAGAAGTTCCATATCAACAACAAGATCAAGGATTGCAGGATCTTCTCAATAAGACACAGCCAGCACCAACATCAGCGGATGTGCCAGCACCAGCACCAGCATCTGTTTCGGAGAGTGCTGGAACACATATTCCAGGATTTGCAAGTAATCCAGAGGAAGCCGATCAATTACAAAAGCGTATGGAAGAAATGGAGAAAGAAGCAGCTAGATTAAGAGATTTTAATAATTCTGCTAATGCAGAAAGTGAAAACGACCGCGAGAAGAAGGATATTGATTCAAGATCAGTTTATATAGGTAACGTCGATTATGGGGCAACCCCACTAGAATTACAACAGCATTTTTCAAGTGCTGGGATTGTGAATAGAGTTACTATATTGATGAATAAATTCACCGGACAACCTAAAGGATTTGCATATTTAGAATTTACTGATATTGATGGAGTTAATAAGGCAGTTGCAACCTTGGACGGTACAGTATTCAGAGATCGTGAATTAAAAGTAAGTGCAAAACGTACAAATATACCTGGGATTAGTACAACGAATAGAGGAGGAAGAGGTGGTAGAGGTGGTATGAGAGGTGGATTCAGAGGAAGGGGTAGAGGAAGAGGTAGAGGTGCGTTTAGAGGAGCTGGTAGATTTGCACCATACTAAGACAAGCTAAAAAAGTAATAAATAATTGTAATTATTAAAACAAAAAATTTGTAATATACTAATAAATAATCATGCTTTTGATAAATTAGAAGATTTGACGTAATCAGAAACAATTTGTTTGTTATCTCTTGATAAACCATCGATTACTCCGTTAATATCTTTTCTTGATTTTTCCTGTTCTAATTTGAATTTACATTCAATTTCGTCAATTTCGATTTCTAAACCAGTGATTGCTTTTAATAATGCACTGGTATAAGGTTTAGGAGCGTCATCAACGGTCCAAGGTTTTGGTCTATTCGATTCATTTTGATGTGTGAAATTATTCAATTGTCTTAAGACAAATTCACCATCGTTTACAATACGAGATTTCCCCTTGATATGAATGCAAGCAAAATCCCAAGTTGGAACATATTTTTGTGTTTCTTCTTTACCAGGATAATAACTTGGACTTATATACGAGTCAGGAGATTGGAATATAACCAAAACGTTATCGTTATTAGTTAAAGAAGGAACTTGATGATTTTTTTTTGCAACATGAGCATGAAGGAATTTCTTTCCTTCATCATCAGTGTATAAGTAAAAAGGGAAATGATTAGCAATGAGATTTCCGGCTTCGTCAGTAGTAACAACGGTTGCCAAAGGGTGAGCTTTAATTAAACTCTCTTGTTTGATCCATTCACTTTCTTGGTATTGTTTTGGAATATACATCTTCAATTCAAATACTAAAGAGAAGAACCAATAAAATTGATAAAAATTGTCATTAGTTATCTTTTATAGCGAGTTTTAGACCCTTGTCTGAAAAAGGAAGCTCTTTCCGGCCGCTGATTTACTGGTTACTAACCCGTCCTATCTAATTGAACCTCAAGGTTCAAGGGTATCCAGTACCATTATACGGTAAGAAGACTACAAACTTTGTCGTAGTCCAAAGAGAAGGATATATTCTAGGAGCAGGTGGACAAAAACAAAGAACAGAAGACTCAGTAAAGAAAAGAAGACTAGCAGAAGAAGGACATTCAAGAAAACTCAGTATAGAAAAGACCCTAGAAGTAATTGAATCATGATAAGGAGTCTCAAAAACCTCCCCAGTACAATAACTTTAATCAATTAAATATCATCAAGTCATATTCACGAATACTCCACTAAAACTCCCTAACACTCCCCAATGCACCCTAACATACCCTAAAATACCCTAAAGCACCCATATACTCCATTGGTACCATACGCAATCACCACAAATCAATAATACACAATAACTACACAGCCAATACACCTTTCTTATAACCCAAACAGGATATAATAGTTATAGAAGGAGTTAATAAGCATCCACGGCGGAAACACAAATGGGGAAGGCTCCTCGGCCGAGCTGACTGACGGCGGAACCCCAAAAGGGTACTCTTTTCTCCGGTGACATATTTTCGGAGCTTCCGTTTTGGGAGTCGCATCTCCTCCAACTTAAACTTGTCGTTTAGGTTTGATCCATAGCTCCATCATATCTATCATCACTCCTACTACATACTTAGATTCGGCACCTAGAAGAAAGACGTTTGTGGTGGACTCATTCGATTACGTTGCGGCACGGTATAGTATGGGTTAAGTAAGTAAAGTAACTCACAAGCTTCAGCGATTCAGCCCTACGAGGCTGAGAAGGACGCTAGGGTTCACTTCCAGAAAAGGTTGCTGACCGGTGCTATTTCCGAACTGAGGTTCCCGAAAGATCAAGTTTCTTAATTTTGAGATTTTTATTACCGGAAAGTTGAGGTGAAACTTAATTATATAGAAAAGCCATTAGGTTGAAAGCTTTAACCGGTAACTAAAATATCACTAGTGAAGGTGAATTGGAATTGAAAGGAAGAACTTCTCGTGAAATTACGTTGGATGTCATTTGGAGACCAATTGAAGTGATAACTCAAGAACCAGTTTATCGTTTCACCTTTGTTGAAATGGGTGCTGCTTTCTTACCAAGCCGTATTGGTATCGCTCTTGGTGCTTGGTTTTACATCCCCATGGTGAGAAGAAAGTTTAATTTCAATTAATTTTTGATTCATATATATATTCATTTAGTTATAGCGATTCTTAATTTTACATTATGATGAATGATTTTTATAATAGAATCTGTATTAACATTATTAGTATTTCTAAATAACATATGACAGGGTTAGCTTGCAGAAAGATGAATCATAATGCAATACCTATATATCAATCGATACACTGCGGAGATCAAAAGTGGCTATAAAAGAGATGTTAATAAAGTATAAAGGTTATTAGTCAGCTATGTACATGGTCAATGTTAATAATAAAATATATATGTTAATCAATAATATCCAACAAGCGTGTTACCGCTATTATTTCCGAGCGGCGATTCCTGAAAGAGCAACACCGTTGGTGTTATTTCCGCGAACAATAGCAGCCTTTCTGTACTAGAATTAATCCGATGGGATACGGATTCTTGCAAAAAAAAAAATATCGGTGATGATTAATAGCAAAAAAAAGTATAAAAGCAACCCAATCGGACACGATATCGAGGAACTTTATTGTTTGATATCTGGGTTAAGTAATAGTAGCTTTACTAAGTTAAAACGGACGAAAATGACTGCTTATAGATTTTTTAGAGATAGTTTTTGGGGAGTTTTGATTAATAGACTTTCAAAACATAAATTGGCTCCTCAAAAGGAAGAATACCCTGATTATATTGTTCCAGAGAAATATTATGGGAATGAAAAAATAGTTGATGATGATTTGAAAAATAAAGAGTTTAGTGAAGGTACTAATCAAAGTTTACATTCAAGTAGTGACTCAGAAAACTCTTCTGATACCATTAAAGCTACTCCTGGTGAAGATTCTCAGCAAATAATCGTTACTTGGGATGGCGATGATGATCCTGATAATCCTTATAATTGGCCATTACATAATAAGATTTTCTTTATGATAAGTATTTGTTTTGTTACTATTTCAGTTTATATGGCTTCAGCAATTTATACTCCTGGGATTGAGGAAATTATGGAAGAATTTCAAATTAGTCAAACTGTCGCTACTTTACCGCTTTCATTATTTGTTGTTGGATATGGTTTAGGTACTAATATTTTCAGTCCTCTTTCTGAAAATGCAAGATATGGTAAGACTTCAATTTATATAGTCACTTTATTCATTTTTTTCCTTTTCCAAATTGGTGCTGCTGAATCCAAAAACATTGCTACTTTATGTATTTTAAGATTCCTTGGTGGTTTTTTCGGTTCTCCTTGTTTGGCCACTGGTGGTGCTTCAATGGGGGATGTTTTGCACATCAGTAATTTGGTTATTGGTATTGCCACTTGGTCTTTGGCTGCTGTTTGTGGTCCTAGTATTGGTCCTCTTATTGGTGGGGCCTTGATCAATAGATGGAACTGGAGAGCTCCATTTTGGTTCATGGCTATCTTATCCGGTTCAAGTTTCTTGATTTTGGGATTTTTATTACCAGAAAGTTATGGTAAAACTTTATTATATAGAAAAGCTATTAGATTGAGAGCTTTAACCGGTAATGAAAATATCACTAGTGAAGGTGAATTGGAATTGAAAGGAAGAACTTCTCGTGAAATTATGTTGGATATCATCTGGAGACCAATTGAAGTGATGATTTTTGAACCAGTGGTTCTTTTAATCAATATCTATATTGCCTTGGTCTATTCAATCATGTACGTTTGGTTTGAAGCTTTCCCCATGCTTTATACTCAAGTTTATCATTTCACCATTGTTGAAATGGGTGCTGCTTTCTTATCAATTTGTATTGGTATTGCTATTGGTGCTGCTTTTTACATTCCAATTATCAGAAGACAGTTTACTTTACCATTCAAAGCTGGTAAACCAATTGCTCCAGAAGTCTTCTTACCAATGGCAATTGTTGGTAGTATCTTAATGCCTTGTGGATTAATCATATTTGCTTGGACAAGTAGTCCTAAAGTTCACTGGATTGGTTCATTAATTGGTGCAGGTATTTTTGCTTGTGGTGCATTCTTGGTTTTCCAAACCTTATTTAACTACTTATCATTCAGTTTCACCAGATATTTGGCTTCTGTTTTTGCCAGTAATAATTTAATGAGATCAAATACTGCTGCATTTTTCCCAATTATTGGTAAATTTTTATTCGGTAATTTGTCCACTCCTAATTACCCGGTTGCTTGGGGTACTATGATTTTAGCATTTATTTCTATGGCCATGATTTTAATCCCGGTATTATTTTACTTGAATGGTCCTAAATTACGTGCTAGATCCAAATATGCCAATTAAATTCGCTTTCAATCAATCTCTAATGCATGTATATACAATATTTATTTACCTTATGTTTATTGCGATTCCTAATTTTATATTATAATAAATAATGATACTAAAAAAATATGTAATATTTAGAAGTATCAGTACTACTAAATAAGTTTTTAAGATCGAAATAGCTTGAAAAATGGCAACAAATAATCTCACTAATAAACAATGTACGATAATCAAAAGTTACCAATAAACAATGTATGATAATCAAGTGTTATCAATAAGCAATTTAAATGTCATCAAAGTTACCAGTAATCTATGTATGATAATCAAAAAAGTTAACAATAAACTGTGTATCATAATCAATGTTACTGAGAAAGGTTGCACTTCCTTTAACAACATCTCCAAATTGGTAAGCCAACTGATTATTAATTTTTGCAACCTGCAATATAAATATATAAAACTGCGAAATATGGTCGCAAACTGCAAATTCATAAATAAATCTGCAATATTTTGATGACTAATGAAGAATACATTTGTAATCAGCATAGACCCGTACATCCAATTTCTTTGTATTACTGCAAAACGCTTATAAAGCATTCCAAAAGGGAATTAGTAACGAGAAAGTTTTGCAACTGTTGATGTTTTTAGTTCGAACAAGATGAAGGAACTACTTAAACAGCCGTGTTTCGGTGTTTTGTTGTAGCAATTGACCAGTAATTCGAATATACAACGATGCTTTATAGATTTTTCAGAGATAGTTATTGGGGAGTTATAATTAACAAGCTTTCCCATCATAAGTATTTTCCTCAAAAGGAAGAGCTACCAGGGTATGTCATCCCGGAGAAGTACTTGCAAGGCCCAAGCGAGTCATCTGAGTGCAGCTCTGACAGCAAATGCAATCCGGAGAAAGAGTGTTCTGAGGAAGTTGAAAATAAAATCATTGTCACTTGGGATGGTGAAGATGATATGGAAAATCCACAGAATTGGCCCCGGTTTCAAAAGGCCATCTTCATGTTTAATATTTTCTTCCTAACCATTTCAGTTTATATTGGTTCTGCAATTTATACTCCTGGTATTGAAGAGGTAATGCATGTATTTGATGTTGACCAAAATGTTGCTACTTTACCCCTTACATGTTTTGTTGTTGGGTATGGAACAAGTATTTTTCTGCCTCTTTCTGAAAGTGCTAAATATGGAAGAACTCTGCTTTATATTACTACTTTATTTGCTTTCTTTATTCTTCAAATTGGAACTGCTTACTCTCAAAATATTCAAACCTTGTGTATTCTTAGATTTTTAGCGGGGGTATTTGGATCTCCTTGCTTAGGTACTGGGAATGCTTCCATGGGAGATATTTTACCAATCAGTCAATTATTGAATGGGGTTGCTCTTTGGTCAATTTCTGCTATTTCTGGTCCTTCATTAGGTCCTGTTATTGGTGGTGCTTTAGTTAATAAATGGAATTGGAGAGCTCCTTTTTGGTTTATGGTTTGTTCATCTGGTGTTTCTTTCTTGATCTTCAGTTTTTTCTTACCTGAAACTTATGGGAAAACTTTATTATATAGAAAAGCTATCAGATTGAGAGCATTAACTGGCAATGAAAATATAATCAGCGAAGGAGAAATTGAAGATCAAAAACATAGTACCACTGACTTTTTCTTAAACTTGGCCTGGAGACCTTTTGAAATAATGTTTTTTGAACCGATGGTTCTTTTGATTGACATTTATACATCCTTGATGTATGCTCTTATGTATACTTGGTTTGAGGCATTCCCTTTGTTGTATATGAATACTTATGGCTTTACTTTGGTTGAATCTGGAGTTGTTTTTTTGGTCTTAGTCCTTTCCCAATTAATTGGAACTTTAGTGTATATTCCAATAATTACAAGAACTTACACTCAACCTCTTGTTGCTGGTAAAGAGGTCTCACCAGAAGTCTTTCTTCCATTGTCCATTGTGGGAAGTATCTTGATGCCAATTGGCTTGTTCATGTTTGGTTGGAGCGGAACTAATTCTGTTCATTGGATCGTTTCAATAATCGGTGCTGGGATTTTCGGCTTCGGTGCTTTCTTCGTTTTCCAAACTTTATTCAACTACTTGGCCTTTAGTTTCACCCATTATTTAGCTTCGGTATTTGCTGGTAATAATATGATGAGATCAACTTTGGCAGCATTTTTCCCAATCATCGGTAGATATGCATTCAACAATTTAGCCATAGAAAAATTTCCAGTAGCCTGGGGATCTACAGTCTTAGGATGTATAACTACCGTTATGATATTAATACCTACCTTGTTTTATATTAATGGACCAAAGTTGAGAGCTAGATCAAAGTATTCAAATATCAATCAATAAATAGGGTACTTTTTAGTCTATTCTTCTATAAATTAGAAAAGTACATATTAGCAAGTATGATCAATAGAGAATATTTATTTTGCATTTACTTCAAGTATTATATGAACCTAGGGTTAACTTAGCTCGAGACAAACCTTTGTTGTATAAAGTTGCAAAAATCTTTAGTAAGGGAAAACTGTTGATGCGTATTCAGAAAAGAAGTCCTGACTCATAATCACTCATTCATATGTGAGATCTTCAAAATACCACAGAAAGCAATCCATTGGAAGACCAAGGGTGGCTCTTAGTCTGCTAGGAAGTGTTCATGTCATAATTACCCATAGTTGTAGAGCTACTTAAATGTACGGAACTCTTTAAACGACTTCAGTTTTACAATACAACCAGATGGATCTGTTCAGCTGTAACCTTTTACCGTCAAGGGGTAAGAGCTCATACAAAGAAGATAGATATCAAAAGTGATCTACTATTTATCTCTGCTAATGTTAGGAAGATGTGGTATAAAATCAATTTTTAACAGATAAGATATTGGAGCGGATCGATTTGCCGAAAAGGGAATCATTTTCGAGATAGAAAAATGAAAAATTATATATGTTCGACGTTAACTCGTCATCAAGAGGTTTTTAAACAATTGACCAAGGACATGACTAGAACAGTTTTTCTTACTGGGGCCACCGGCTTCATTGCTCAGAATATCGTGAAAACACTTATTGAAAGTGATTATAATGTTGTTGGAACAGTCAGAACAGAAGCAAAAGGTGATCACTTAACCAAATTATTGAACAGTGAAAAATTCAAGTATGAAATAGTTCCAGATATTAGTGTTGACGGAGCTTTCGATGAAGCATTGAGCAAACATCCAGAGGCAACTGTGTTATTGCACACTGCTTCACCATTTTTTTATGATACTACTGATCCAGAAAATGATTTAGTACTTCCAGCCATTAGAGGAACTAAGAATATAATGAAAGCGGTCACGAAGTTCGGTAAGAATATCGAAAGATTTGTTATAACTTCATCTGATGCTGCTATCTATTCAGCAGAAGACGAGCAAGATGCTACTAAGTCATTTGACGAACTGAGTTGGAATAACATCACTTATGAAGAATCTTTAACAGATGGGGTCACTGCTTACTATGGAGCTAAATCATTTGCTGAAAAGGCAGCCTGGGAATACATCGAGAAAAACCCTGGATTTCCTGCTTTAACTGCAGTTAATCCTGTTTATGTCTTTGGTCCACAGGCTTTTGATAGCGAAGTGAAAGACGTTTTGAATGTTTCAAATGAATTGATCAATTCATTAATTAATTTAGGACCAAATGATAAATTTGAAATCGATAAGGGTGGATTTGTTGATGTAAGAGACGTTGCTAAAGCTCATGTATTAGCATTTGAAAAAGAAGAGACAATTGGTAAAAGATTATTTTTAACTAATGGTCAATTCAGTTCACAAATGATGATTGATATAATCAATGAAAATTTCCCAGAATTAAAAGGGAAAATTCCAGTTGGTGAACCAGGTACTGGACCAGAACATATCAAATCATTAGGTAGAGTTGATAATAGTAAAACCAAACAATTATTAGGTTTTGAATTCAGTTCTTTGGATAAAATTGTTGTCGACACCATAAAACAAGTTTTAGCTAAAAAGAGTAAATAAGACTACAAATAAATATATTCACTTTTATCAATGTTAATTATATGAGCTATGTAGCTTAGTTTTGAGCATTGGCCTTTTCGGACAACTTAGCTTGTTCAATCAAGTTAATTGGAGCATCCATTTCTTCAAGATTAATTTCAATCAATCTAAATTTATCACTTTTAGCAAATTTAGCATCATTGAATAAATTTTCCAAATCCTTAACTTTATGAACGCTATGAGTTTCGGCATTCTTTGGATTGAAAGATTCAATGAATTTAGCGTGATCCCATGGTTGAATTTGATTATAATGAGCTTTTGGACCGTGAATTAATTTTTCAATGGTGAAACCTTTATTGTTCAAGACAAAAATATAAGGTTTGTTTTCTGCTCTAATCATGGCAGAAAGTTCTTGAGCAGTTAATTGTAAAGAACCATCACCAACAAACAAGATTGTTCTCTTTTCTGGGTTTAATTCTTCAGCAGCAGCAACGGCACCATAAGTGGCCCCGACCGAATAACCAATAGAACCCCATAAAACTTGAGAAATACCAAAAACATTTTCTGGGAAACGAGTTTGAATGATACCGAAAGAAGAGGTACCGGTTTCAGTAATGACGGTATCACCAGGTTTTAACCATTTACTCAATCTAGTCCACAACCATTGTTGAGAAATCTTAGATTCAGGATCTTGTTTAACTTCTGGGAAAGGATCTTTAGTGATTGAAGATGGTTTGAAATGAGAAATTGATTGTTTCAAATTAGGAGATTCAAGAATTTTATTCAAAACTTCCTTCATTCTAACATTTGGATAATTAGCATTTCTAATTTTAGTATAATCCGAATGGAATTCAACGACATTGCTTTGTAATGAATAAGAGAATGAACCAGTATTGAAATCAGAAAGTAGAGCACCCAACGATAAAACTAAATCTGAGCTTTCCACCGCAGATTTGACTTCAGGGTATGATAAAGAACCGACATAAATCCCAGTGAATCTTTCATGGCTTTCATCTATATTAGTGGACCCTTTAGCTAAAGGAGTTACTGCAAACTTGAAATTAGTAGTATCAATAAGTCTTCTAGCTTCCTTGGTCGAGTCGTGTCTTCCGCAACAGGCATCGATTAAAATGACTGGGTCTTTTGCCTTTGAAATCAACTCCAAAACTCGTTCAACAACTTCATTTTGGGCGTCTTCGTCATTCTTTGGTAAAGACAAGTCAAGAGGAGTTTTCAATCTGTCGGCAGGAACCTCGACCGAGACCATATTGGAAGGGAATCCAAGATAGACTGGTCTTTGGTTGATGTAGGCTTCTCTAATTGCACGATCGATTTCATCGGGAGCATTATGAGCATCTTTAAGAACAATTGTAGTTTGAGTGATATTTGAAGTCATTCTTTCAAAAACAGTGAAATCCCCATTACCCAAGGTATGATGTAATAACAATTGTTTTTGTTGAGAATCGATTGAAGGAATACCAACAACCGAAAGAACACCAACGTGTTCAGCATAAGAACCAGCAAGACCATTAAAAGCCGATAATTCTCCAACACCAAAGGTGGTAACAAGACAGGATAAACTATGTTTAACTCTGGAATAACCATCAGCAGCGTATGCAGCATTCAATTCATTAACATTACCGGCCCATTTCAAATTTTCAACTTCATAAATCTTATCCAATAAAGTTAAGTTGAAATCTCCTGGAACACCGAAAATGGTATTAATATCGAGAGGTTTTTGAACCAATCTTTCAAATAAGTATCTACCTAAAGTAATCGTTTCTTGTGGCATTGTGGTTTGCAATTGACACTGAAAATAAAATAAGAATCTTCTAATATAACCGGATTCCCAAGTATTTATATAATTTTAACCCAGGTACGGATCTCGATGCCTGACGGATTGCTCAAGTTATCCCTGAGCAACTAATTTTTCAGTTCTCCGAAGTGCGTTTTGCAATAAAAAAAATCCGGTCAGAATTTACTTGCTGCAACTAAAAATCGGCATTGCAGTTTGTGTTTTGGGCACAACAATAATCCGAAGTGGCATACAAACGTCAAACCAACTGATGGTCCTCTTATTGTTTGGACCACATGATGGTGGAATTACAGTATGGTCCGGATATGGTGGGACTACACAAAGTATATTTTTTTTGTTAACCGAAGTATATATATTTTTATTAGGCAAATTTTTGCTTAGTTATTTCACTAGTTATTATCTATTTCATCATCCCATATGGATTCATCCATAAAGTATAACCAATTAAACCCATTCCAACTACTAATTATACCAATCCCGCAGTACACACTGATGAGCATTAATTTTAAGAATTCTAATTTTTGAAGTACCTCGAATTTGTGTTCGAACAAGTCAATTAAACTAACCAAGGTAACCATTGGGATCAAACCCAAAATGTAACCGTTGATGAATCTATCTAGGATTATTTCACCGTCACCAACAAAGTTTTTGAAAGGTAAAACCACTTTTCTAAAATTAAAGTAATATATAATGTACCATAAAGTAGTATAAACAACTTTAATTAACCATTCCCCAGAAGTAAAGATTAATGGGAATAATGAAACATAGGCACAACTCACTAATAAGTTAAAAGGAGCCAATAATTTTTTATCTCGACTTACTAAGAATGTAATTGGGAAAATAACAATTAAGATGGCCTTTTCATGAACATGCCATCCAAATAAAAATGAAGCATATCCACATAGGGTCAATGCACCCATGAATCTTCTAAAATTTGGTTGTAAAAATAAGGGAATTAATGCCATTATTTGATAAAATAATGTTAAAACAAATGTTAATTTAGGGCTAATGGTTGGTAAAATTAAAAATTCAATATCTCCAACTATCCCTCTAGTTGAAGAACGAATTAAATCTTCATTTTGTAACAATTCACTATCAAATTTAAAAATTTTCTGTAATGGTAATTGACTCAAGGTCACTTTTTTATAAATTTGAATTAATAATCTATCTAAAAATGAATAAATGGCCCATATATTTGGTGCCCAATATGCATGGGTTAATCCTCTACTAAATGGGAATAATCTTTCAATAACATTTGGTAATACTTTGTAAAATGGCGCAAATGCCACGGTGAAAATTATTAAAACAATTGATCCTAACTTGATTAGATTCCCCCATCTGACCAATCCAATGGAATTACTGATAAAATTTTTGGACTTATCAATCTTTAATTGTAAGCAATAAGCACGAAGTAAAAAAATGAATACTGCTGGTGCTAAGTATAAATAAATATGTTTGAAACAAAGTAGTATTGCAAACCAGGCACCACACCATAAATATTTTTCTAATCTTGCACAGTTTATCATCAAGATCAATATCCCATACATCATTCCATTATATTGGAAATGAATATGGTCAATTAAAAGTAATCCGGGGGATAATACAAGACTTGATGCAACAACATACGCTCTTCTTGCCGCTGAATGACTCTTACTAGTGTTGATATACCATTGTAATGATCCAAATAACACGATCTCACTGACAATTACCGTCATTCGTTGAAAATAAATCGTGGGTATTCCATAATTTCCCTTTTCAACAATATCCAAACAACCATCATTTCTGACAATTGGTGGAATAAAATAAGACAAAAACAACTCGAAATAAGCAAAGAAAGGTGGATAATCTAATGTCCACTGAGATGTTTTTTCAAGATACCATTGCGATATAGGTAAATTTCTGGTGATTGCAAGCCAATTCCTATGAACATCAAAGTCCGTCGAGTGATATCCAATAGATAATAGTAGTTTTAGGGCAAGCGTAACCACCCATATGTTGACCAAAGAATACTTCCCATGATTTTCAAGCTCAGGAGTCTTTACTGACCCTTGCTTTGTCTTCTTTGTCGAACTCATCTGAATAATCGGTCTTTGCCTGGGTTAATTCCTTCCTTCCTTTGCAGTTCGTTTCGATTCGAAGTGCATTATATTGAGATCTGTCAATCTTTGAGATCAAACAGAACATCCGTACATTTCATCATACTACATCAAGAGTCAATAATTAATCTTCTATTTTACAGAAATACATATGGGATATCTAATTACCAGCCAAAGGACTCGGTGTGTAAGTAAACTTCTTCCACGTATTCATTGCGCAAGTCGCTATTGAATATTTTTGTTTGAAAAGAAGATGCAAATTGACTAACCGTTGATTTCATCGATCCACTTCCAGAAGAAACAATCATGTTTCTTCGTTTCAAAGTCGGATAGAGTTTTCTCATGATGATTTTGACATCAGGTTTGAAATAGTGGACGTTGATATTGGAGAAATCAGAGATTTCACTGCTGATTTCCATTGATTTTTCCAATTGGTCATCGGAAAGATTGTTTTTTGCATCGACGGTGGTTTTTTCAACATTTGACCCATGAGTAACGTAAATGTCTACCTTAACATAATCCTTTGCTATGTCAGTACACCTTTTCAACTGGTCTTTGATCCAGTTGATATTTGAAGCGTCCCGTACTATCCATACGAAATCAATCTGAGAAGTAACGATTCCGTCATTGATACGTTCGGCTAAAGTTTGAAGAAAGGGAAGAGTGGCACTGACACCACTACCAGTAGCTAACAACATGACTTTGTCGAATGATTCAATGTTACGGGCTGTTCCGCCATATGGACCATCGATATAAACTTTTTTTGAAGTGGCAGTGTATTGATCTAATTCTTGGTATAATTGGCTGGTCAATCCTTTCCTAGGTACAATAATAAACCTTAAATGTTCATCATTTTCAATAGAGCAAATCGAAAATGGATGGTTATCCAACATTCTTGTTCCGATAAATCTAAGATAACAATGTTGGCCCGGTTTCCATTTAAGTCCTTTAATATTTTCAATGGTGATTTGGTAAGAGTTGTGGTCTAATTTTTGTAAGTCCCCTTTTCTGGATCTTAAAAATAATGAATTTGGTTTGAAAGTGGTTTTAACCAACATTCTATAAATCAACTGGGTTGCCCAAAAGGCTAATGCCCCCCACATATAATCTTGCATATCCAAGGACTTGTTGATATGCCAAATCAAAGTACCGAAATAAGCAATCCCACAAAGCCAATGCAAATGTAAGAAGGCTTCATAGCAGCGATCTCTAACCCATTTTTTTGATGCCATACAAAGCCAGGCTAATAGGACTAAAGGAGGGATACCACTCATATAATAAGTGCTGTCATTATAAGCGGCTTTCAAAGCAGCAGTCCCACCCTCTTGCAAAGGCTGATATATGAATGGAATGGTATGAATGATGGAAAGAATGAAAGCAGCCACTCCAACGTATTGGTGGGTTGAATTCAATTTTTCATAGCTTATACCGGTCAAAAGACTAATCATGTTTGATTTCCCCGATAAAACATAAATGAACGGAGTTAAAGCAGTGGCCATAATTCCTGCCCTTACTGCTAAAGGTGGTGATCCGAATCCACTACAACCTCTGTACCAATAATGAGGAACCAAGCAATAACAAAATAAATAAAGAGAAGAAACAACCATAAATAACGATGACCCCACCGATGGTGGGAGAGAAGTGAAATAACTCACTTTAGCAGGGACCTGTTGATAGGCAATATAACGAGAATACGATATCAACGTGTAAAACAACGAACCCAAGAAACCAGTTCCTTTAGAGTTTTGATTCTTTAATGTTCTTCTATCGATACACAAAAAACATAAGTGTTTAACAAACGCAATGAATATTATAACCACTCCGAAGTAAACCGTATACTTTCCATAAACCGGTTGATAAGTCCATGGAACTTCAGCTTGGGATTGCATCTTCGCATGAGAATACTTTGACAGCATTTCATCTGCAAGGCAGTCCATGCCTTCAAAAGTCACTTCTCTTTTGAACATCTTTGTTTGAATATCAAATCTGCGTCATATCCAAAAGAGAAGATTGGTTCTCCTTATATAACTACAGCCAATGTCCTTGAGCAAATTATTAATACCAACTCGTAGCTCATTAATAAATGAGAAGATGCTGCGCAAATATTGTGTCCCTTTTAGGAAAACTAACGAAATGAGACGGTTAAAATCGCTAAATTGACAGCTTTTCGCAATTGAACGGTCTAGGTGTAATCTTACATTACAATATTTGCTCCGAAAGTTTATTTAATTGATGAAATTAAGAAGGAAGAATATCAAAGTGATAAGATTAAGGTGTATTATCAAAGTGATAAGATTAAGAAAGAAGTGAAGGAAAAAAATGAAGACACTAAGTGCACACAGGATCCATTAAGCCTATTGTCCAATTATAAGAGCCTAAAAGTAATATCATGATGACGTACGCAAGTACCGAGGAGACAAATCCGTAGACATAGCTGTGAAGAGTTCCTAAGAAGAACAATTCGGAGACGAATGTGCTCACTGTGGTGAGAGCACCGCAGAAGCCATCGTCCAATCCTGCCAAAACGTGACATCCAATCAATTTGGTGACAATTGGATGGGAACTTGTAGAAATGCTTTTGCCTCGAGACAACAAGGTGAACACAGCTAGTAGTAGGGTCCCCAATATGTTAGCAGTGAATGTCCCTAGAGGAAATTTTTTGAATTTACCATTCAAATATTTCGATAAGTAAAAACGAAGTAATGCCCCCCAGGGAGCAAAGAAAATGGCAAAAGTCCAGGATCTCCAGGACTTTTCGGTTCCAATCAACACTATGGCAATGATATAAGCAACTATTCCTAAGATTGATGTTCCGAGTTCCAAAAACTTATATAATCGGATTGGAATACTAAAGATATCCAAGGCTTCACAAAGATGCTTTCCCATAAGAAACCCGCTGCAAGAAAGCCCCAATTGGGCAATTAGAACCGCAATGCATTCCATGATTCCATAAGCACTATTAGGATATATGTATGATGAGCTGGGTAAAGTATTGGCAGACTTATTGAAAGCTTCTAAGAATACAGATGAGAAAGAGGAACAAGTACCACAAAATCCAGTAGCAATACCAGCGTATATAGGTATCTGAGCCTTAGTGCTGTAATATTTATCATCAAGAGAGGTTCGCCAAATCCTTGAGCTGTGAACGAGAAATCCCATAACAAGACAAGCAGTGAAGTTAGCCCAAATAAGACCTCCAAGATAACTTCCGCTATACGTGGTTAAAACAGTCAACCCTTTACGGGCAAGCACTCCCCATATAGATCCGTTGATAATGTTCAATACGGTCGCAACATCCAAATGAAAGTAACTGATTCTGACAGCCGTATCCTCGTATTCTTGTTCTTCTTTCTCACTAACATTTTCAGGAAGCTCGGACGTGGAGTCATGTTCATGCTCGGCCCTTATAGAGAGCTCTTCGTCTCTCCGGCTGGCTTCATCCATGTGGAATAGTAGGGGGTTTGATTGTTAAAGTTGAAGATATGTCAAATTTATTTTGTTTGTTTGTTCGCTTTATTTGCAAAATTACCTTTTTAAACTGCACTTATCAAGACTGACATATCCCTACAGTGACTCATACGACATGGGCTATATATTGCATACTTAAGCTATAAACTAACCACTCTTGACTACGTGATCGACATCGGGGCCAATTGAGCCCCAAAAGCTATTAGGGTCGGAATATTTTGGCTTCCAGCCAATAGCATAAGCATTATCGGCTCTGGATCTGGCATTGGTTCCCCATAAATAAGGACCGAAATCAAAAGAGGTATACTTGACAACGTCTTCGGGATCAGCATGACTGACTTCGTCGGATTCAATCAAGTTTCTCTCTTTTAGCTCTTGGGCAACAACCTTGGATACTTCGGCCCAGGTATGCTCAATGGCACTTGCTCTGGTGGTAACACTGCCTTCGTCTTTCAATGTATAAGCACCAAAGTAGTATCCTTTCTTACCAGTTGGTAAAGACTTGTCACCGGTGGTCAATTTGGATAGAAGGAGATAATACAAATCACCCAAATCCTTGATGTGTACATGACTCCAAATATAATTGCCATTATAAACACTGAAAGCTTTACCTCTTTTCAAGCAAGCATTTATCAACATAGGGATTTGAATAGAGGTAATCTTATCATAACCATCACTCAATCCAAAGATGGTAGATGGCGAAATGATCACCGTCTTGACTTTTGGATTATGTTCTTCTATATCCAAAACCAATTTATCAACTGGTCTATGGGGCTGTTTTTCTGGTAATTTGTTAATCTCGTCAATATCCTTAACATCGGAATAGATCTTCGTAGTGGCATTCTTATCTGCCGAAAGGTCATCCCCAATGACTGAGGTACCCGAGGTGTGAATCAAAATCGTTGGTCTATCAATCTTGATCAAGGTATCGTGTAAAACTTGGGCATGAGGGACATTGTCAACGTCTGCGGTGTTAATAATAACATCATTTTTCAAAATTTGTTCTTTGAATAATTCAGTATCATCAAGAGTTCCAATTACAGTTGAAACCTGATGATTGGTTGCTTTAAGAAGCTTTTCGGATTTGGCTTCATTACGAACTAAAGCCGTGATGTTGAATTTTCTCCCTTCTTTATTGTTCAACAATTGATACAAGGCTTCACCGCCAATGTACCCGGTGGCACCAGTGATAAATACGTTTTCAAATGACATTATTGAATTGTCATGATAATAGTATTAAAAAGAATAGTTAGCTATATTTATACTCTCCCACATCTTAAGTATTCTTTCGGTTTTCGCGACTTCCCAAAGCTGAAAGCAACCTTTTAATAAAAATCTCGCAATGTCCGTTTGTTTTGCAAACTTTAACCTTATTGGTGATTATTGAAACTTACTGGCAGTATAACAGCAATTGGATAAACGAGTGTAAAACGAAATAGAGTAAGCTTATATTATTATCTAGTTGAATCGATTAGAAAAGAGAATTGAAAAGTATAACGAAATTATAAGAGTGAAAATAAAATCTGAAAATCAAGCAAGGTTTAAACGCCCATAAATAAGAAGAAAAGAAACTATAGACAAGAGTGTATTGTATTAAGCCCAGACTTGTAATTGTTCAAAGAAGTCTAATCTTTTGCCATCCGGATTATCCAAATTTTGAACAACACTGTATCGCAAATCATCAACCATTACTGGGTGTCCACATGTTACGAAAGCAACTGATCCATTGGATTCTTCAACTTCTTGTTTAACAAGTTCTTCCATATCTGGACGACCTTCCTTGAATTGAATATGTGATAATTCTGCTTTGATTTGGTTGACAACTCTAATTTGTAAATCAGCTTGATCTTCGCTTTCGTCATCACTAGAACCAAAATGTTTCTTTTCTTCATTGTATTTAATATCAGTAGTCTTGAATTCTAATCCTAATTCTTTTCTTTCTTCATCTTTGATTTCATTAATCTCCGCATCAGATGATCTTGGTTCATTAGTGATAATTGGAAGTCTATAGTTGAATTCTTCAATACAATTGAATAAATTTGGCTTTGTAACGTAGATGGTGGTTTCAATTTTGGTATCTTTTAAAGCGATTAGCTCTTCATAAAACCAGTATAAAGATTTATATTCTCTAACAATCCAAGTAAGTTTAAGATGTTGCTTTGAATTTTCACGAGAACGACGTGCTAAATCAACAACTTCAGAATAAATACCTGGAATACCGTTACCACCAGCAACAAAGTTAGCAGTGTCATAACTTTTAGCTGGTGTGGCTTCACCGTATGGACCTTCTAATGCAACTCTGATTTTGGTGGTTTTACCTGGATGGGTAGATAAGTATTGATATAAACCATGAGTTACACCACCTTTGACTTTACAATAAAGAACGATATTGTCACCTCTAACTTTAGAATCAGTGAAAGTGAAAGGATGAGATTGCCAAAAACAAGATGGTCTTAAGAAATGAATGAAAGCATGACCTCCAGGGACTGATTTCCAATATTTTGGTTTTGGAACTATAACTTTCAAAGTTTCATCAGCTAATAGGATAACTTCAGATTTAGGAAATCCAAACCAAAATAATCTACCAACTCTAACGGCACGATCAAAACACCAAACTGCAACAACTGAATAAACAATCCAAACGTAACCTAACTCTTCAACGTGAATCCAAGCACCACCAATAAATAAAGCAGCCATAATTATATGAACTAATAAAAAAATTTCATACCATGCTCTTCTTAAAAAAAGCATACCTTGAACCATGATAATACCACCAGCAACCGTGGCGATAGTACCCCATACGAGAAATGTTTCTTTCATTTCAGCAGCATAGTAGCCACGTAATAAATAAAGATGAGTGAAACAAGAAGCATGAACCACTACTAACAAGAATATAACTCTTGCAACCCATCTATGATAGCAAATAAATGTGGCGAAATCCCATCTAGTCAACCATTGTAGGAAATTATTACGACCAGCGAATAAAATTAATAAAGGCATGTTCAAAGTAGCTGTAATACCAGTTCTATCAGCGATATAACGAGCTATGGCTTGACCTTTGGTTGCAAAAACTGGATCATTCTCAATATATTTAATGTTTGCACCAGAAACCGCAATAGTTAAAGCAAGAAAACCAAAAAGGATCAAAGACTCTAATCTTGAAGGAACTAAGAAATCAAAAACTTTGAAGAATACTTGTTCTTGAGTCTTTTTTCTTCTGATAAAAGCTGGTAAACTAATGTATTTTCTATAGGTATTTGATATTGGGCCAGTAAATTTACCAACAATTTTGGGGAATAAAACTTTCGACCAATTTGCAATAATAGCCAACACAAACACAAGAGCAAAATACTCGGTTAAGGCAAGACCGTAGTATAAAGAGTTATCATAATTACCCAAGAATTGATCATAAGCTCTAAAGTACAAAGCGGTTGTTGAATCATTCAATTTGATTGGAACATTAACTGGCACCGAAATATTATAATTTTCAATTTCGCTTGGAAGTTTAGCATATTTAGTATAATTTTGCAAAGAATCTTTATAATCTTGAACAGTACAAGAAAGATTATAAGTAGCACCCATTTTATTAATATCATCAACAACATCCTTAGTTATTTGATTTTTTACGTTAAGACAACCGGCAAAAGTAGCTCTTGCATTATCGTTTTGACAAATACAAGCGTAGGTAGCATAATAGTCCGTTGATGGTTCACAGAAAATACCAACTGAGCTTATATATAAATTACAAGCATAAATAGCAGATTTGGAAGAACCATACTTCTCGTATGGAGCTCCCTTTTTAGCATGAACTAAAGGATTTCCAAAAATGCAAAGAAATAATAAAATCCAACGAAATCCAATCATCTTGTGCTTGATGAAGAAAAGACAAGCACCATGAACAATCAGGAGAATACTCTCTGGTTATATACAATGTCTTTTTTTTAAAGTATTTCGCTGATACAAAGCAAGACAGGGGAAGAAAGTTTAAATTAGTTCCAATTAAGTAAACTAACATGCTGCATGAATAAGGTGAATGAATTACGATTAGGTAGCTGAAGGGGGTAAGACAAAAGGCAGATTTGAATCAAAAGGGCCAGGCGTAAAAATGATTTCGAAAAGGCAAAACAAAGAAATAGGAAAGATTCGTCTAAAAGTAAAAGAAATACTACTTGAAATGTAACATTGGCTAACAGTTAGAACTCAAACCCAACTAGAACTTGGATAACGGTTATGATTTTAGCTAATTTCTTCTCAAAGCCGTTCAAACTTCAGTCAATTTTGACAAAAAAAGCTACAGCACCTCACTTGCTAATGACTCGATCAGCAACCGGAGCCAATGATTATTGTTTGTTTTCGTAATCTTACTATTGTTCAAACTTTGGTTAATTTTTCGATACAAAGGCATTGACTGATTTTATCAGATTAATCAATTTTGCGGCATAATTTTTTTGTCTTTGTAACTGCTGATTTTTTTGATAAAAATTTTTCAACATTACGAGGCCTTTCTGACAGCCAGTTCCCACATCAGAATGCCATGTCTGTCATTACCTTGACACATCATACATATCTTGGCATCAGGGGATGGTTTATGTGGGAGTGGGGGCTGTTTAGTTCGAATTTGGAGGACTAGATTACTCAAATTGAAAGATTATGTCTAATCTCATAACCAAGTCTGGCATAATACCACAAGCTAATTACACCTATAGCCAATGGAAGTGAATACAAATCTTGTTGGGCTTCTTTTTCGACGGTAAATAACGGTGTAGCTTGGTTAATTTGTTTGTAGTTGCGGTTACGAATCTTCGTAGTTCCACCTTTTCCAGTTGGATTTACTTTGATTTGAAATTACACAATACGCTTACATTGTTGATCTTGTTGCTACTTCACCTTTATTTGTCTTTACATCTGACAAATTCCAATGTCCGAACCGAGGTGCCGACTCAAATGCCTTTTACCCTCTCTCATTATATGATGATGAGGTCCTATTCCTCTTCCTAAAGTCGCTCGGATAAAGGGTTATCAGATTAATCTAGGGCCTGCCATTCCATTTTTTATTATTTGACTAAAACCGGGCGAGGCAGAAAGAATTGACATATAGCCAATCACGTCAAAGTTTGACAGTATACGTCAAGTGAAAATTTTTTTGCGCATACTTTAGACCTTATGCTGGCCGTTCGAACTGGCACCAGTCTAAAAAATATGTATGAAACGGAGAGAAGTACATGGTTTAAGCCAATTATCGTTGAACGCATTTGATTTCATCCGGTAGAAGAATCGCCTATTTCAATTCCCATAGGCCGTCCACCATGGGGTTCACTAATTAAATTTCGGTGATTGGCTAAATACAGAATGGGCCCTTGATCGTTTGATATGTCACCCTGATCACTAAGTTTACGAATTATCGGTATTGTCAAAGTTTGTAGAACGGTTGAGATGGTCCAATCGTCTTAGCTTAATGATTCTTACTACGCATCAATGAGTATCGCTAGTCTTATTGGCTCTTAACTTCCTCTAAACAGCTACTATACATTAGGGTAATTGGTAAGTGCAGGTTATATTCTGCCCTTTTACAGTTTATTGGTTAGTACTTAAGGTTTTGGCACCTGGCTCATCAATGAAGGATTGGTTTAGTTGATAACAAATCATTGAAAGAATTAGAATAAGCAACGGCTTATACTGATGCTTATAAAATCACCTATTGGAACCAATTAAATTAAGCCACCTACTAAGTAAAAGACTAAATAATCCTGGATACTAAATGATTATTAGTCAGTAAATCAAAGGTACGAAATCTCCAGATTGAACTCTAGGTAAAGCAAAGTGCTCAGTGGACAGTGTGAAGGTCACTTCTTGTTACTCATTTTCACAGATACTTATTTCCACTGATACTTATTTCTACCGATACTTATTTTCACTGATACTTACTGGTGCTTGCCGATAGTCACTACTTGCTGATCAAATCAATAATCAATGCATCTATATACGTAGCAGTAGCATCTAAGCAAGATCCAGTATAATTGTATTGAGAATGTATCAATAGTGGGAGTTTAAGTTATGTTATTGTCACACAAATATTGAATTATCAGTATTAATGTTTGTAACATGTTACAGTATCAATCAAAAGTATTGACTCTTTCATCCATATACATAATCAAGCATCAACTTGCTAAGCTATAATCAAGCATCGAATGGGTGAACATAATCAAAATTAAAGATAGATACTCAAGTATATAAATCTTCACTCATCAAACCCTACCAAGACCTATCAACTAAAAAATATTTCAATTCAAATACCTAATCATCCTCCTACTTCATCTTCCTCTCATCATGACCACGGGGGTTTTACTTTCTTATCAGTTCACTGCCTCTCCTCCCCCTCTTCTTTGTAGGACCCCGGTGTTGCCCTTTTTCTTAGGTAGTCCTCTTAAACAAAACTCACCGTTTGTCCTTCAATAATAACAATTCATCAACTCAATGGAATTTTTACTTGTCCTAAGCTTGGCTTGCTTGTCGTCATTTTATAACAACGGAATAACAGTACAAACATAAAAAAAAAAAAATGGCTGTGCGAATGAAAAATTTCAACCTTTAGCTATTTTTTTAGTAAACTTCTATTATCTTACGTTGACTTGAGTTTTTCTATTTTTACGTTTGTGAGCATCTGTCTTGATGAGCCATTGTTTGGTAGATTCAATCAGGGTATTGCGATGAAGGGTGGGGATATTCTCCATTAGATTCTCCCCCGGATCTTTTATTCCTGTATACTCCATCAAGGGAAAAAGTCCGGGAGTATCATTTTGTTTGCAGCATTTTTTTTTGGCCTCACAAGATGAAACCAGATTGAATAATTGAAGATAAGATTAGATTGGAATATCGATTATCCCTTCTGCTTGTATCTCTAGGTAAGGTTTGCCGGCTGCAGAAAACGTTGGCTAAAGCTGCCCGCGCCTGGGCCTGTGATTTCTGTATTGATTGAAGATAAGCAGGAATTCATTATTGCAAATTTTAGTCTTGGCTGCACAATTTGATGGATTTTTATGTGCCTCCATGTTGGTTTGACGTTTTATTAGTACTATGATTAAACAAAACACCACAACAATTCCATAACAAAAAAGAAAAAAAAAATCACAAACCCAGCCTAGACTGGTCTTTTTCTATTCTTATTCTAACAAGGGATGTAGTTGCCTTCGTTTGAAACACATCAATGGTTAGCCGGGGGCAATCTAAGCCTGTAATGAAGGATTGAGATAGTATAAGATTCTCTTAATATCCAATAATCTAGCGAATTGGTGAATTTGTCTTTTTTCAGCTTTTATTTTCACTTACATCTAAGAATAATATCAAATGTTCTCTAAGCAAGATAAGTATCTGTACGAAAATGGAGATTCTGAATCACAGGAATCCCAAAAGACTTTCTGTGAAATCAGAGATGTTGATATTGATTGTGGATATGCTTGGGTGATTTGTTTCGCTGCAGTGTTGATATATTTTAATTCCTGGGGGTTGAATAGTGGGTTTGCAGTATACTTTAATGAATATGAAAATTCTCATAATTATTTCAAAGATGCGAAGGATGGAGACTTTAGTTGGGTTGGTGGTTTAAGTTTTGGTATTGGATTAATCTTAACTCCATTGATTAATTATATTCAATGTAAATGGGGCACTAGTTTCACCATTTTTGTTGGTGCCTTACTTCAATTTTTAGCCAGTCTATTAGCTAGTTTTTCAAATAAAATTTGGCAACTTTATTTAACTCAAGGTGTTTTACAAGGTTTTGGTCTTTCATTTGTTTCAATTCCTGCTTTCACCATTATTCCTCAATTTTTCATTAAGCATAAATTTTTTGCTTCCGGTCTTGCTTCTGGTGGTGCTGGATTAGGAGGAGTTTTCTATAATCTTTCAATGCAACTGATAACAGAAAGTAAAGGAGTTGAATGGGCTTTACGATCTCAAGCAATTATTTCTTTTGTTCTTTTGATGATTGCAGTTCTTTTAATTAGAGGTAGAACCGTTAACGATAAACCAACTTTAAAGTTAATTGATATCGAACTCATAAAATGTCCTGAATTCTATCTATTAACTTTTTTTTCAATCACTTGTATGCTTGGTTATGTGATTGTTTTATTCAAGTTAGCCCATTATGCAACTTCAATGGGGTTCTCAAAAAGACAAGCAACATTGGTGTCTGCAGTTGCTCAGATTGGGAATATTTTTGGAAGACCTTTAGTTGGATACCTTGGTGATAAGTTTGGTTCTATAACAACAAATTGTGTAGTGTACTTGATTGCTGGAATATTAGCTTTAGCCATGTGGATTCCAGCTCAAAACTATGCAACTGTTATTGTATTTGCTATATTAGAAGGTCTGATTATGGGTTGTATCTTTGGCTTTATGGGTGTTAAAAATAGACTTATTTATTGGATTCCAATTGGTGCCGCTTCTCTATTCTCTCCCATCATCAGTGATTTACTAACCGATGTCACTAAATCAGATAACTATACCTATTGCTCTGTCTTTACCGGTTGTTGTTTTCTTGCTTGTAGTTTTGCCTTATTCCTTTTACGAGGATGTGTCAATCAAGCTTTAACCAATGACTCAGTTAAAGTTGAGGATATAGAAAAAGGTGTCTTTAAGGATTCAGAAAAAGGTGAAGCTTTAAATCAAAAACACCCAAATCCTATCATCAACTATATCCTTCAATGTTTTTCAGTCAAGGAAATCAAAGTATGATTTCCTTTCTTTAATTTGGGTTGGTTCTTGTTCCTGGGTAATTAGTTCACTTCAGTTCTTCAAATTATTGTTAATCCATTAATATGATCTTTTGCGTCTTTCTTTTATAACTCTCTCACGACATTCTTATGCAGCCTAATGAATAGCGATACGTACACTAATACCATGTAAGCAAAACCAAAGAATATAATTTACAAGGTTTATTGAATCTTTTTAGTGGGGTTTTCAAAAGTATTTAAATTATTGATAGTTTGAAAGCAAATTCCATTTGAATGCGAAAAAAAAAAGCCTTACAATAAATCCTCAATCAGATACTCCAATATATTTAGAACAATCATGGTGCTATGTCTAGTGACTATAGCCCGGACCCATGACCTTGCTGAAAGATTAAACGTGTTAAGCATTGGAAACGCTTTATTCTATTTTGAAAAGAAGCACGATACTTCAAAAAAAAATTGTATCTTTTAAAATATATACTAAATAAATAACTACTTATACACGATATGGTACTAGATTACCATGAAAGTTTGGCAACAAATGATTGAGGGTGTTTTCTAACATACATCTTTCTCAATTCGTCGTATAAGAAGACGATGCAGCCAAACCCCACTGCTATGAAGTAATACTCAACTGGAACCTGGCCGGTACTCAAATTTTTTTGAATTGCAGGTATGTAGTTTATGATGAAAGTGATACCTAAAGCAGCGGGTATTGCCATAAACATATAATGGTTTTTGAACGGATTTTGTTGGAAAATACTCAAGTATCTCGTTCTTATAGAAAGTAAGTTGAAGAATTGCATTATAACCAAGTTGACGAAGTAGATTGATGAAGACATGGAACTGATATCTTCAAAGTTTGGCAAGTTATCTGTGGCACCGTAAGATAATGTAAGTTTACTGAATGGGATACCATGTCTTTGAAAGTTTAAAAATGCAACCAACATTGATGTGAATGTATAGAATGTCCCCACAATAAAGTAAGAATGCAAGATCAATCTATAATCAACCAACCTTTCCTTTGATAAAATACGAGGTTTTTTAAATAGCAAGTTCTTTTCACTGGGTTCAAAGGCTAATGTTATAGCACCTAAACAATCAGTAAGACAACAAATGATAATCATGTTGAAAGATGATAAAACTTGAGGTAACCCAAATATAACATTAAGAAGAATTGGCCATAATTCAGAATAGGTACCAGCTGGTAAAAGATAAGCCAAAGTCTTCTTCAAATTTTCAAAGACTAATCTACCAAATTTTAAAGCTTCAACAATTGCATGAACTGACTCTAAAAGAACTAAATCACTGGCTTCTTTAGCAATATCACATCCATCTTTTAATGAAATACCAACATCAGCTGCTCTCAAAGATGGTGCATCGTTAATACCATCACCAATCATACCTACTATATGTTTTCTTTTTTGGAATTGGTTAACAATCATTAATTTCTGCTCTGGGGTAGTTCTAGCAAAAATTATTTCTTTATAATTGGTGAGTTGATCCCATTGATTATCATTCAAAAAATTCATATCATGACCGGATATAGCAATAGCACGGTCGATCTCGTTTTCAAGATTAGGCAATTCTTTTGCTTTTTGATCGACATAATATTGTTTATCTAAATCTCCAATATTGTCAACACCTTCGTTATCAGAGACAATTCCACACAGTTTACCGATAGAAACAGCAGTCAATTCAAAATCACCAGTAATCATGACAATTTTTATACCAGCTGATTTCAAACTCTCAGTAGTATCCCTAATCCCATCTCTTGGAGGATCACATAAACCAATCATACCAACAAAAATTAACTCAGGACTTTGTTCATTCATCATATCAGTAATAATTTCAGTTGACTTCAAGCTATCAGTCAATATTTGCTCGCTGAAAGTTTCCTTTGGAATCACTTTAGCAGCCAAAAGAATAACCCTTCTACCATTTTTGGCCCAGTTGGTTTGAACTGATGAAATATTCTGTTTATATTCATCACTCAAAGGCTCGAGTATACCAGCCTCGGTTGTTAAAGAACATTTATTCAATAAGATATCTGGAGCACCTTTAATAGCCATTAAATAATGATCACTTGGGTCACCATTCAATCCAATCAGTTCCCAACCAGTTTGGGATGTAGCTTCTAACAATTTCACCATGAACTTATTCTTAGAATTAAATGACAATTCACTTCTCTTGAACCATTTAGCAGATAACTCATTCTTTAAGGAAAAGCCTTCCGAAAACTTGAAAGTAGCTTGATCAGTTGCATTACCTGAAAGGTTTGAACCAGAGGTTGAATCATTACACAAACCAGCAACTGTGTATAGAGTATCCAAACCTTCATCGAACTTCTCTTCGGAAAGTTCAGATTCCTTTTTATTGCAATAAACATTGGTAACAAACATTTGATTTTTTGTTAAAGTACCAGTTTTATCAGAGCATAAAACACTAACTGATCCTAAAGTTTCAACAACCGAAAGTGATTTACATAAGATTTTATTCTTACGCATAGCACCAGCTGTGATAATAAGACAAGTTGTTAAAGCAATAGGTAACCCTTCTGGCATAAAAGCAACTGCAACTGAAACAATGTCAACAATCAAGGTAGGTACGTTAATCCAGTTAGGATAATCTTTTCTTAACCAAGCAGCCCAAAGAATAATAACTAAAACCACCAAAGAAATAATGATAATTACAGTTAAAATAACAAATCTGAGGATTTCAATTTGAACTGGTGTCAATCCTTTCTTTGGTTTGGAAGACATTTTAGCAATTTGACCAAACACTGTTGCATCACCAATGGAAACCACAATACCAAGACCATTTCCACTCACACAAGAAGTACCTTGCATTGCAATACAATTACTTTCGAGATAATTGGAGCTGTATAATGAATCAGGGTTTGAATGAGTAAAACAAGGTTTAGATTCACCGGTTAAAACAGATTTATCCAACATTAAATCATTAGAATTTTGGAAAATTCTAATATCAGCAGGAACTTTATCACCAGATTGAATTGAAATCAAATCACCAGGAACCAAGCCTTTAGCAGGAATAATTATTGATTGACCATCTCTAATAACATGAGAGTCGAGTGGAATCATATCATAGATAGAATCCATAACTTTTGAACTTGAAAAATCTTGCCAAAAGTTGAAAAGAGCTTGGGAAAGAAAGACAACCAATAGAACAATACCAAGAATCAAATTAGCAACAGCTGGAGGACTTCCTAGAGGCTTCCAAGAAACTATACACAATATACCACCGGCAAATAACAAAATACCAAATCCACCAAAAAAATAAATGAAAAGTTTCTTGAGTAAATTTGAAGGAGGTTTTGATTGAACATTTTCACCATACTTTTTAGCATGTTCGTTTGCAATTGAAGTAGTTAAACCATTGGCAGCATCAGAAGACAATGTTGCAACGATTTGATCGATTGGTTCGACATTCCAAGTATAGTCTACCAAAGGAGGTTCTGAGTTATCGTGCTTTCTTGACTGGGAGTAATCAATTTGAGAATTAGCATCGATTTGATGTGACACTGTCTTATAAACACCAGGCAATACATTATCTGGAGCTATCTTCTCTTTGATTTGGAAAATAGACGAACGTCTATTAAGAGGAGGTTTATTAGAACGTTTTCTTGAAGGATCTTCAATATCAAACTGGATCCTTTCTTGTGCTTCCCCAACGGTAGTTTCTTCGTCTTCCTCCAAACGTTTTTTCGAAAAATCTGAGTTTACTGAAGCCATTTTCTTCTTGATTTACTATTGTCTTTCTTTGTTGAATTTGTTCAATACAACTTTTTAAACAATTATATTAACCTAAGCGTCACTTCACTTTATATATCTACACCGAATTCCTTCATACGGCTTCAGAAAGCACGTTCAATTAATTACGCTGGTGAATTGAACTACATAACCCTTTAATGGCCCTTTGGTCCATAACTCAAAGTTTATTTCGCCGTTCAAGTAACTTCTTACATTCGCAAAAAGAATAAACTAAATGAGAGAATTGATTTCAATGTCCCAGTTTAGATATTCCTCTTGACCTTGAGCTATTTTCATCTGACGAATGAGATAAATCCCTCTAATGAAAGCCTAGAGGTTGTGAATAAAAGTTGAGGGATTTTGTCTTTGGTGAAATGTTTTGATTTCTTTGAGGGTTTTTTCCACCATTAAACTGAGTACCTCGCTGTTTTTTTTTATTTTGTTTTTTGCAGTAATTTCGCAGTCTTTTTCATTTTGGGTAAAATGTTGTAGTGCTTTTGGCTATTGAATCAGAGACAATCAGTGGCATTTGGTGAATTAAGATGACTACGGGGCTTAGTGAAGTCTTTTGTGAGTGCTAAATAGTTAATGTTAGTTGAGGCTTCAATTTTCAGGAGTTGGTGAGGTTGTGATTTGATTTTTTCGAAGGTTAATTAGCTTGGTTTATGGTCACAGGCAGAATAAGCCTGTAAATATCAATGACAAGGTTCTCTGGCTTCATTTTTTCTTATCGGATATATTGAATGTTACCAGGTAGTATTTAATGATTAAATCGGTAATTCTTTCTTTTTTGAGCTCTACATGAGCACATTATACAGTTGATTCGATAATTAGAAGTATAGTTCTATGACAATAAGTGCAGTGAACCTGCAAGGCAGGCTTGTCAAGAAAAGATTTAAAGATACAAAGTAATGTTTCAAATATATCAAAATTACTAATTATCTGGTAGTTTATGTTGTAAAATGGATGCAACCTTTCACTATAATTTGCTTATATTGGAAACAACGAATCAAAAAGCGATCTACACTTGTCCCAAGAATACTTGAATATTGATCAATAAGAAACTCGTATTCAGCTTTCTTGATTGACCAATACAAACGCTTCTTACTATGTTTTTTTTATTTCTTATACATTCATCGTAAAATCCACACACTGTAGTGATTTGTCACAGTTCATGGTTGCCCCTTATTAAGGCCAAATAGGTATTCATACATTCAATGATGCTTAAGCTGTTTGTTTATCTACTTATAGAGTGTATTGAAGGATGCAGAAAAGTTGATTGTTTTTTGCAATTTTGTAAGTTTTGAAGAAATTTGTCAAAAAACTGGGCATAAATCAACAAAGTTGAATTACTGTCTTTAGCTGAATCCCAAAAAAACCACATTCTCTAACTTTTAACAAGGGCAACCAGACTTGAATTGTATGGCACCAGTAAGTTATTTACAATATTTTTATGTTAAGAATGTCTATTTTGTCATAGATAGAAATATAATAAATTATAACCTTGTAATTCTTATTGTCGTTAGCTAAATGCCTCTTATCAGCTTTGTAAGCTTCCAATCCTCTACCCGTTACCGTCTTAATTACCGCTGTCCTGGTATGACCTCAAAAAGCTGTTCCAGTGGAATGATACCTAAGACCTGCAAGTATTGTAGCAACAAAAAACGCTAAGACCAGGGTAGCACATTGGTACGTTTTAACCCAGTCACAGATACTCATATCATTGTATTCTTGAAGAGTTGTACGAAGCGAAGCAAACCCTATTACTATGCCTCCCACATTAATTGGAACCCTCTCTTGAATAGCTATCTCGTCCGAAATAATTGCATATAGTAAAAAAAATATGGGATGAATGTTTAAACCCGCCAATGATGCTAGCGTCACTATAATACTTAATTTTCTAATGGATAGCATTCTATGATAATATCAATGACATCAAGTTGAATGCTTGGATATATGAGAGTAGATCAAGTATATTTAAACATAAGAGTTATTCTCTTCGTAAACATCTTCAGAACCTTAATGGAAACTCAAAAATAAACGAACAAATGTTAAACTTTTTTGAATAATGACACAATCTAACTAAATATACGGAGGTTTTTGCCCTAACTAAATATAGTATTAAGTACGCGTAGAATATATATTGTTAGTGAGAAAGTCAGTTTCCTTTTGGCTTTAATACTAAGTGACAATTTCCTATTGGTTATGTATGTTACTTCGCTAGTTACTTTATAGTTTTGAATAATTAACAATATTCGATAAAAGATTATATTAAAGATAAATTTGTCTTTCTTTTACTATGTATTTTGATAGACAGATAACCTCGGTTTTGTTAGAAGGAAAGCTTCACCTGCAAAGGCAATGATATACAACCATCAGACAATTGATATATTTATAATATATGTCGTTAGAAAAGATGGGAGAGTATAAGCATGGACGATTAATGTAACAAAGGAGGTAATGGATTGAGAGCAATCAGATAATCCATAAGACATTTATAATAAATTATAAATAAATACCCGATTTAGGCGTGCTGCCCACTAATCATGTAATCTTTCGAGCTGCTTCCCAAAGTACTACGTCTATTTCGTGTCTTATCGTTTTTGAATTTGCTAAGCATATACTTTGCCGATTTGAATCATTTAACAAAAAGCTTCACCACAACCGCAAAGACTTCAGTTGTTACTACTTACTAAGTAAAAAGGATAATCTGAATTTCAAAGTTAAATTCGACTTCTTGAGTCTCAACCTTGGACGTATCATATCCTATTTACATTATACGTATACTGGTAATTTCGTTACCCAAACTGTTTTCTTAAGCAATACTACAAAATACCCAAAATCACTTACAGACTAATATCAAGACAACCAATTTAGAATGATTTTTAAGTAAAAGCAAAAATGTTCTATTAAACAATGAGGTATCAAAATCCCAGAGTCTCTAACTCGACATATTTATAAATTTTTTCTTATTTACAATTCGCCAAAACAAATCTCACCCCTGCTATTTAACAGAGTAGTGACTGATTCTAATTAATACTTAAGGAATGAAACACTCTCGAGAAGATAAGAGCTCATGGTGCCAAATCATGCCATCCGAATCCTGTTTTTTCGTTATGATTGTTGCAAAAAATGAGACCTCGCATCTGTGATGCAAAAAAAAAAAAGAAAAATACAACAACCTAGTGGTTCAAATATTTAGCACAACGCTGTAAAGGACAAGCTCTAATTGATGTAGATAATGGTACTCATTGTATCAATTAGAGGGTCTCATTTTAAAACCTAGAATAAGCATTTTTGATAACCGAACAACGAAACTTATTAATCATACTTACGAGCTTCTAATTTAGTTATATCGTATTGTAAGGCACATCATGCAAACTAACNGAAAAGTTTCTCTTTTTTGATACGCTTGAAATAATTTAGCTCCTCTCATGTCATTGAGATATTTTTATCTATCAAATTCAAAATGAGGAGTAGTAATTTAGTTGGTGTTAGCTTGTCAACGACTGGGTGTAATTAGGCGTTCTTTCAATGGTGTCTTCTTCATTTTCTCTTCTTTTGAATTCATATTCTTCAGGAAATCTTTTCAGAACAGTCGGTCTTCCAACCTATATAAACTGTTCAAGAGAAAGTTTTTTAAAGGAATGTGGAATTAATCATTATTGAAGGGGTCCAAGTAGGAATGATTATTAAACTATTTTAGATGAGATTCATTTGA